TGTTGTGAAAAGGCTTAATGACGAAAAAAGACGAGATGCTTGAATCCATCGTGCTACTGTCCTATATGGTAAAGCATTTGCTCCAAAGGCTTCCACTAATCCTCGATAGCATTCTGTTGCATTTTTGCCACGGGCAACCTCGATTGTAAGCCACGACCGCTGATCACCTTTTGAAAACATGCTTTAGAGCGATGGAAACGAAACTCCTCACTTTAACGCCACACAACAACTACCCTTCTAAGCTAATCGACTTTTTTTTGCACTCTACACATCGACAACAGTCCCACCTCACAGCTGCCATATCTAATTTGCGCATGCCCGTCCTTCTGTGAGTTTAAAGGTTAAGTTGCCACTATTTAATTTACAACCCTCGTATTACTGAAAATGGATATTATTACTTTGGGAACATTCCTGTTTTTTCTTCAATTATAAAAATTAGTACTTTCCTGATGTATTTTAGATCTTTTTATTTTCCTTTTCAAATTTAGAATGCAATGCTGAACTCTATTTATCGATCTTCTGGACAAAATGTTTTGATATTTTTCTGTATATCCGTTTCAATTGCATGCAGAATGTTTGATCAGTCTTGCTGTTTTTCGAAAGTTAAATATGTCAAGCAAAGATTCATTTTGTGGTTTTGGAAAGCTAAATATCTTTTGAAGGAAAAGTTTATGTCCTTACACATTGTTTATAAAGGCTGTGCAGTTCAGGGATAATATAGCGTTTTTAACCATTTACCGTTATATGTGACACTTTTTTCATAGGACTATTCCAGTGAACAACATACAGGTTCCTGGTGAAATGATTGTTAACAGAAACGATGACTTGGAGATTAAATGTGTAAGCAAACGAATAATTCCTTCCATAATTATATCTCTTCATTACACATAGAGTTCTTATGAAAACTATTTAGCATATTGAATATAGCATATTGAATAGATATGAAAACTATTTAGCATATTTTGAAGGGAAAAATCCATCTTTACCATCTCAAAAAGGAGGATGGGTGTGATATTTAACAAAGCATTTATATGCAAAATTAATAATTTTTTTTCTTGACAATAGGGAATCCCATTGATTTTTTTCCCATGCGTTAGTAGATACATTTACCTTCAAGATGATAGTAGTCTTTTGAACGATGATGTTTTGAGAAAAGCTAGAAAAAAATTGCAGATTTAGCATTTTTTTGAAGTTTGTGAATGGCTATATCAACTAAAAGCATCGATAACTTTGGAAAGTTGTGTCACAGAACTTATCCTAATAGAAAATTTTAATATTCAGGAAAAAAAATTATTGGGATGCTGTTGTTTTATCATGATTTTACGGGCAGAAAAATGCCAAAACTCTAATTTTTCACTAACTTTGAAACAATTCTGAAAAGCAACATTGCCCCTTGGTATTAACTAGTACATGTCCATAACTCGGCACGATTATCTTAACATAACAAAACTTAGGGATGTTGTTGCTTTTTCATATAAACCACAATCAAAAAATAGTTATTTTGAAATTCTGACAAAAATCTGAAATTATGATGACTCTTAAAGACTATGGTTGCTTTATTTGTTTCTCGAAGTTTTTATCGTCGCATGAAATAATGCTTTTTGTGAATAGTATGCTATTTCATAACTGCTACGAGTTTGCATTAGTTGTTCATGATTGTTAGGTCAAGTTTTGCTTATCTTTAGTCAGCGCCTTATGTTTATTCTCAAACTGGCGCAAAACTTTAATAAGACAAAAAGGTTTTAATAAAATGGTTTTGAGAAGAATGAAGCAGTTGTGGTCTAAATTTTCAATGTATAAAAACTTATTTCAATTTCTGCATGATCTGGACTCATAAGAATTTGCAAAAACTAAGAATAAGGCAGTGATTTTGCTAATTCTCATCCCATCAGAAAAAATTTCGCCAAATAGGCCATTTTTAATTTTTTTTTAATAACACTTGAAATATTTATTTAAAATATATATATTTATGAAATATGCTTATTTATTGTATTATTTAAAATATTTATTTATTTAAAACTTAGATAATTCTTTATAGCAGTTTAAAATTATAGCTTTGTTACAAGTGAAAGGTACTTAAAAATGTAGCTTTTTTTATTTTCCTTTGCAAATGAGCCTCGAAAAAACATGTTCAAGTTTGAAAGTTTTCTTAACATACATTATAAAAGTTCAATGTGTCCCGCTCTTTGCCTTTTGTTGCACGGGAAAGATTACCCAATACGTCCTACAACTACAAGTTTTACCCTACCACCACCTTAGTGGCAGTTTACGCAACTATCACCTGCCAAGGTAAACAGAACTTTGAGTCCTCTTCTCATTAGTATGTTAATTATTTATGTCTAATTTATCTTGTATTAAATACAAATTTATAAACTTTGTCCATATTTTTAAATAACCCTGTATGAAAATCTACCAACCTTGCGACGAAGCTTTCAACGGTGCTGCTCTTGCCACTGCTCTGACCACCAACGACGACAATTTGCGGTAGAGACACATTATTAAGACTATGACCACAGGCCGCAAGTTTGGTTCGAAGATTATTCGCAACGTCTATCAGATCAATAGCTCCCTTCTGTTTTGTACCTATGAGGAGATATTTAAAATAGTATTAAAAAATTTAAGTTTTATATGTAGATGAAAATGACGAGAATGATTTTGTCAAAATTTAAAAAGGTAAAATGTGAGAAGCATCACTTTTGAAAGAAAAGGGTAATTTTCGACGTAGATAGAAGCTAATTACAATAGTATAGTTTTAGGTCTCTCAAAAATTATAAAAACTTTTTTTTAAAATTATATTCTTCGTTTTAACTTTGTGTCTATTAGCTTGCCCAAGGCTGAACAACAATCGTAACTAACTGTTACATATAGGGGCTGTCTCGTTTTATTATAAATAGTTGTCACAAAAGCAATTTTGTATCTGTTATTTCAATTTAAGCAATGGTTATAGCACTCTGTTACGCTTTGCCATTAGTCATGGTTATGTCTGGAAAAGTTAAATTTATGGAATGCAATATTTGATTTAAAATAAAAATTATGATTGATCACTTATAAAAGTTATTAGTGTCTCAATTTAGTTTCAAAAAAACGCATTAGAATTTAAAGCCTAAGTAATTAATATTTTTGTAAGTAGTAGTTCTTAATTACTTATACATCTTTACCTCGAGTATAATAATAAAATCAAAGAAATTTTTTTAAAGATAAAGTGAAACAAATATTTTTTAGATTTAAAAGTAATTATTTTATTGTATTGAATAATTTCAATAGGCACAATGTCGTCGTTCTCTAAGACATTAAAACCCAGTCAGGCATTCCAAGTCTGAATTTAACCATATGTACAAAAGCTTCTTACTTAGTTTAGGTTTTTAAATATGACAAAATCATTATTCAATTTACACTTCAAATCAGAAATAGTTAATGATGTCAGTGCTCTTAATTATTCCATAAAACAATTTACGACACACAAATTTGCTTTATTTCACAGTTCCACTTACAAAAATATAAAAATTACTCGCTTTAACAATAAAACTCGAAACGCTCAAATATATAAAATGGCGTAATTATGAATATATTAATGCTCATAATATTAAAATAACAATTAAAAACAAACTACTAAATGTGATTTTGTAATTCTTTCGTAGGCAAAGTAACGGTTTCACGTTTTCTGACGTCGAAATTAAATGTTATGCAGCGTAAAGGATAATTATTATTTTTTCTTCTTTTGTTAGGTTCGAGAAAGCCCTGGATCACTTAAGTTGTTCGTACAGATTAAATTTTGGTAATGAACAGTCTGTATACAAATGATCGCAATAAAGTTCAGCCTTTCGAATCAAAAAGGATAAAATTCCTGTTCGTGATAAAATAGTAATTATTTTTGCTTGCACTATTAGGGAAACTGTTATAAATTGCATTGCAACTTGCACAACATTTAAGTTGAAATTTAGAATAGAGCTAAATTCATTTGGAGTTCAATCAAATGGAGCTAAATTTATTGGGAATTTATCAGAATAGTGTTAAACGCATTTGGGTACTAAATTTTTCTTGCAGTGGTCAGGAAACAATTCAAACTTTTATTGAACCCGAACACAGAAGCATTTGATACGATTTGAGCAATTTTGTTACAATCGGAACGACAACTGAAACTCATTATCAGTCAAGGACGTCACGTTAGCCGAAATTGAATTCCAAACTCTATTTCCTTTATCATGTTTAGACAAGTTAATATTTTGGCACTTTTAAACCGAAAGGAAATAAGTGTAGTACAGTTAGTTGATACAATTTTATTATTAACATCACACTACTAGACCAACACTAAAATGGCTGCTAGTACAATTAAAATTTTTTTTAATAAGTTTGCAAGAAGCTTTTTAAAAATTATTCGAAAATATTTAACTATTTTAAGTGCATTTTCGCCACCTCAGTATACTATTACTCGAGTATAATATAAATTTTGGTTTCTAACAAGACCATCGCAAGCTCTTATTTTTAAGCGTAATTCTTTTCTAAAAGATTATTTTCTTGTTAAAATGTTTTGTGACTATTTTTAATTTCCTAAAAATATTAAAATAGTAAGCGTTATGCTTACGTTAAGCGTTATGCTTACTATTAAGCAATGGTTTAAGCAATTTAAAAGTATTTCAAACAAATGACACATACTATAGAGAGCTTGGAATTTACATGACGAACGTAAAAATAAAAACTATTTTTTGCGAAAATTAAGGCCAGTTTAGGTTTACTGAAATCACGACTAAAATCCATTAATGCGTAGACACAAAATGTTCTACAAATGAAAAATGTATATATAAAGGAAATGGTAGTATATGTTTGCTTATAACAAATGTATATTTAAGCAAAAACCAAATTGTATATAAAGCAACAATGTATATAAAGCACAAATGAAAGTACATAAATTGTCATACTATAGTTTCAGTTATATAAACAAGAACCTTCTTCAGTGCTTGAATGTTAACTTAAGTAAATAATTACCTTTCTTTTCAACTTCTTCGCCAGTCGAAGCGTCGAAGAACTCAGAACTAGACGAAGGTTCCGCATTTGAATCTGCAGAGGAAACAGAACAATTAAAAAAAGAAGAGCAAAATAAAACGAAAAATTCACATTTGAGAATTAAAAGGTTTAATTCTTGGCCATAAATGGCGCCACTGAAGAACAATCGCACCTCTTCTGCCTAAAACAGGCATACGTCAACAACAAAAGATTTAATGTACTTTACTTAAAAACTATAATGCATTAGCTATCCAAATTCAGTGATGAAAAACTCTAAAAATTGTATGTCATTTCAAATTAATACTAAATTAAGAGCTCATGCACAATTTAATGAGTGTTGTTAAATCTTAACACCAATAAACCAGAAAGCTTACCGTAAGATCAGTTGTCTTTAAAAATTATTTTCACCAATAAAGGCGTAAGATTAGAAACTGTCAAATGACATCAGTAGTTTGCTTACAATACGAGATCTCTCAAACATTCCGCAGAAACAGTAGTTACCTCTGATAAAAAGCATGCATGTTTTTAGTAGTATAATTAAGATAATTTCACTTTCATAAGAAAATTCACATAAAACTATAAATTTTATTAAATAATTTTCGATTTCTATCCGCTTTAGTTTTGTCTCCATATTAATACTCTCTCACTGTCCTAAATGTATGTTAAATTAACAATTTAATTTTAATATAAGATATTTTGCGTTCCTGCATCCTAAATTAATAATCCTTTCTTTATACTGTAACGTAAAAATAGCTTTCTTGACTCCTATGTATATCATATCATACTGTAAATTATAAATTTGAGTGTACCGCATAAAAAAATGGTTGCAGAAACTTTACACCAAGTGGTATAACAGAACATCCTTGAATCTTGGTGTAGAGCAACATCTAAATCCAAGAGTTACATATGACGTTTCACTACGCCTCTGGGGTGTTAAGTAGTTACCATTATTTTTGATTTTGAGAAACACTAAAATTTCTTAGTGTATTGATGTTTCAAAATAAGCATTATAAATAATTTTAATTTAAATTTTATTATAGATTTTATTACATAATTTTATTATAAATTTTATCTAAATACAAATTCGTCGGAATTCTATTAGCATAAATAAATGTAATAACCATACCATTAACATAATTTTACTAACATAAAATAAGTGTAGCTTCTAAAAGTGGAATAATTCCCGGGAAACATTTTAATTAAGTGTTAACTTAATACATTTTTGGAGCAGAGGCATTAGATATTAGATGGGCTTCATCTAACTCGAAAATTATTTCTTTTTTTCTAAATTCGAAGGAGCCGTAATAATTTTCTAAACAGATACAGCGTTAGGAACGGACCTGTTCCGGTCGTTATCACAGTAAATGACTCACCCTATTACTGTAACGATCAAATAAGAGTGAAAAAACCCGGAAATTTTCGACTTTAAGTTCATAAATATGTAGTTTCAAATTAAAAAGAAGTTATAAAATTTTTTTTTGAAAAAAAATCGAATTCTGCCACGAAAACTATAGACCCCCCAAAATTGAACTCTTAACTCCTCATACATATTCTAGACACTCTTTAAAAACCACCTGTATTCCTTATATTTCTATTAATATATCATGCAAACAAAAAATAGAAGCATAGACACCTAAAATTAATACGAATAAATTGTGCATAATTAATACAAATACATATCTAAAATTCTATCTCTCTCAGGCTTTAAATACGCAAATAGTAAGCAAACAAATACTACTAATTAAATTTTTATCATAAAAAAAGCCTTATTACAATTGCAGCGAAAAAGCAATACTAAGTAAAGAAAAAGGGAAAAATATATGTCGAAGACGAACAGTAAAGATGGTTCAGCCTTCCTTTGACCCTATGTAATTCTAAGGAAGATACGGACTTGTTACTTTACTGTGTCTTTCCCTGTTCTTTCGCCCATTCCGATGTAAAAGCGAGATTGGATGGCTAAAAAGAGTGAAGATCATGGGTATACTGATGTCATCCTACGCCACTAGGGGCACTTACCCGTTATAGACGGGCTGTTCATGCGCATTCGAAATATTACTTTTTTTAAACTAACTTAAGCTTTGTTTAGTAATAATTATCAAAATCTGTACTCAAATAGGTTCATCTTCATAGTTATTAATTTGAAAACTAACTTGCAAAGCTCACCAATTAGTTCGCAAAATGAGTAAATAACTTAAAAACACCTATTTCGGGCTTATTTTGACTATAATTATGAAACATGAAACTAAGACAATTCAGATAAGAGTACCGCTTCAAATGGGCATGAATAGTCGACTCATAAAGGGAAAGCGCTCCTACCGGCGTACCTGGTCACGAGTTACTATGAGATTTTGTTTCCTATGAAGTGCCTTACGCTTAAGTTTGTAATCGCTGAACTGAATCCCCCTGTATACATTTTGAAAGATTGCCCCAAAGCTGGAGTTTAAAAATATACACATATCATGACATATAATCATACAGCATATTATTAATGTAAAGAAAAACACTTTAAAATTTTTACAAATCATTTTCGAGATAAATTGCAGTGAATTATTGATTTAAATCATAACTAGTAGTTTGTTGGGATTTTAAACAATAATCTTTTTCTTCTTTTCAGAGTTTTGTTTTATCTGACAAGCGGGCTTTGCTGTTTCCAATTCTAGCTTTACTGCAATTTACACAAATACAGGTGTCACATTATGAAAAAATTTTCTTCCTTATTCAGATATTAATTTATATCTTTTGCACGTAGTTAGTCCTTTTTTTGACAATAATTTGGGGAAAAAAAACTACTAGCATCTGAACATCAAATAAAACTTTGCATATGAGCTCATGGTTGGTATAAATGAAATTTCCAGAAAATTTGATCTAACCTTTGAAAATAACTGACTTAATAAAAACTTTCATAGCTCGATACATGTTATTAGAAGGAAAATAAAATGAACTTTTTATCACTTATTTTGTTTGAACATAGATATTAATCTAAGATTAGAATAAAAATATTTCATGTACATTTTTTCGCAGCCATACTGTTTATTGGAATAAAAAAGTAACATTAAAATAGAGGTAAAAATAACTATAGTGAAATAGCGAACTAGCGTTTCCACAACATTCTAAAAATTTTCTGCAGTAATCATTCTAAAATAAATTTAGGAAGATCATTTACTTAGAAACACTAAGAAAATGGCTCAGGTAACCAACTGCGGTCAGTGATACAATAACTAGTGGTTGAGTACGTAAGTCCCTAATCAAATTAATATAAAACTTAAAAAACAATAAATCTATTAGTCCTCCACAGAGTGGAGTTTAAAATGTAAGATTAAAAAGATGAAGGAGAATATGAAAACAGCTGGGTTCAACAGAGAAAAATAAGGATTAATTTGAAATACATATTTTAATAATTTTTCTGTGTAAAATGAATCCTCGTTTTCAGGATTTTGCGGGAAAGAAAAATAGGAGCATCCTACCGATAAAGGCCGAATTTAAGAAAAAACACGATACGGAATTAATAAAAATTTTTAACGTTATCTAAACAAGATTTTAAAAATATGCTTTCGTTAATTCTGAACTCAGATTCAATATCAACCGAATAGAATTATATGTATTTTCGTTTTTACTTTACGCTGTACAACGTAATTTGTGAAGATGTGACGCCAAATTTATATTGTTGATTTACGAAGAGATTATTTTAAAATATTTCAAAGTCTTTTTTACGGACAACAAAAACAGATTTCGTACGAAATTTTACTTTCGAAAAATGCAGTTAGGGAGGCCTTTTAATTCATAATTTTTATCCTTTGACGCAGGTGGGACACAGGTGTCCCATTTTATATTTTTTCTGACACTGCCCCATTTTATATGGTGACAGCTGCCCCATTTTATATGGTGACAGCTGCCCCATTTCATATGGTGTTTTTTCTAACGCTTTATTTACAAGCAAAAATACATAGTGATAATGAAAAAGATGGAGGTTATGAAAACAGCTCGGTTCAACATAGAGAAAAATATAGATCAATTTGAAAAATATATTATAATTTTAATAATTTATCTGTGTACAATTTATCCTCATCCTTAGGGTTATATCTGTTTTTTAGAATTTTTCGGTATTTTTTAATCATAAAAAAAGCAGTCTAATAGTTACTAAAAAAATCTTATATTACCGGGATTACATTTGTACTAAAATATTCAATAAAAATAAGGCAGTTTGAATTTTTTTTCATTCATGTTTAAAAATTTATAAAGAATTGGATTTTTTTAGATTAAAGATATTTCAATGATGAATAATTGTTTCTCTTAGATCTAAATAAGCGCAAATTTGAAAAGTTTTTGTTTGGAAGTGAACAGTGCTTGTGAGATTTTACCTTTAACGCAGAAAAAAACTGGTGTTTAATGCTGTATTATTAAATGGCTAAGTGGCTTATTTATTTTTTATTATAAATATAATCTTTTGACAATATCTCAATTCCAAAACAAAAAGAATTAACCATTTATTTCATGCACGAGGAATAAGTATTTCTTATAATGAACCTTCATTACAGTGTTTAACTAAGTCTTTTTGTCATTAAAATAAATAATGCTTTTATGAAATTACAAGACTTGCGAGTTTTTAACAGCTATTCATGAAAAATGTTACGTTTTGCCATTTAAGGAAAGAATTCACCTTGCTAAACAACGCAAGTGGTCAATCCGAAAATAGCCACAGTTTTGTGAAAAGGAAAAGTGAATGATATTTATTTATTTTTTATTATAAAGTTACAGAATTATTCACAGATTTTAATTGCTTCAATTTATATGGAAATAAGTTGCCAAATTTGAGATTTCAGAAAAGTTTAATAATTTCATGGAAATATTTAAAATATTAGTTTGTTTCAGATTCCAATCAATTCTCAATAGTTTATTGATAAGGGATCACTGCTAAAGTTTGAGTTGATTACGACCCAATTAAAATTAGTACGTCCCAACTGAAAGTAAAAGAGTAAATGAAGAGGGGCCGCTGCGTAAGGGTGGTTTTTCTCTGTTAAGATAGATCTTATAAAATTTTGTATTTCGGCTGCTGACGGCCATTTATTTTGTTTACAAATCCTTAATTTTTTTAAATGTTATTAAATATTTTTGTTTCTGTCAATATTACTTTTCAGTTGGATTCATTATGAAACCAGTGATATTATTCTCGTATTGTGTAAAATCGAAGCTTTTAATTCAAGTGCAAGCTACTCAAAACTTTTCTTCGGTAAAAGAAATTTGAAAAATACTTTTAGCAGGATTTCGACAGATAGTATCAAATCGTATGGATCAAATAGTTTGTAAAGGGAACGTTTTCAGGAAAAAATAATTCATGAAGGACTCGTCATTTTTAAACAGACTCCTAGATTTGAAGTTAGCATTCGAAGTTAAAAATAAAATAAGAGAGTCAATAATTTAAGAGTGAATTTAAAAATGTGTTTCGATAACCTTACTGTAAACTTACAAAAGAAAATTCGGAAAAAAGCAAAATAAATTAAGATTAACACTCATTAGTTGTAGACTTCTTTTTCAAACAAAGATTTTCATACTCTAATACCCGATAACGTTTGCAAATTAAAACCAATTCTAACGAAAATTTACAAATTTGTTTTACTATGTAGATTTTATAAAATAATATATATTACAGTTTTCAATACTAGTTCCGATGTAAAGAATCACTGGAAAAACTTGAAATCATGAAGCCTACATTGATAAGAAAAAACCTATTTTCCCGAGACAGTACTAATTTGGAAACTGCCATTTGGTAATGATTCCAGAATTCTGAATTTTACCCAATTTACAAAACTCTTGTAAATTTTCATTTTGTCTTGAAAGTTTAGGATTTTCTTGATGAAAAAAAAAACTTTACAGTAAGAAATTTAGTATTTTATTAATTTTGAAGGCAATATTATTAATATAATTTATTCAGAATATAAATCAAAATATTAGAAACCAAAAAATTCATCAATTTAAAGTAAAATACGTAAACTAATCTCGTATTCCAAATTCAATACAATTACGAAACTCTTGAAATAACTATTGTTTAAGATTATATTCGAGAGGTGGGGAAAAAAACGAATTAAGTTTCTTAAAAAGGTGCGTCTTCATATCTATATAATTATGCAACATTATTCAAAGTTAATAAAAGATTTTCTTTTCTCATCAGATATAATAAAATATTTGATAATGTTATAATATTTAAGACGATTAATTTTTCAATTTAGAAAAATCTTGAAAAGTTTGTCTTGTTAAGCTTCAATTCTACATTCTTGCAGAGCGCGTCAGAAATAACGATTTAAAATAAAAAATATTTTTTCTTACCAGACATCCTATTTATTACACTAGAGATAAACTTTCACCTCCTAGAAAAGAGAAGGACTCTTCGGTTCCTGAGTTTGATGAAGAGGAGGATTCTTGGGTTGGATGAAGAAGAGGACTTGTGATGGTGAGGGAGAGGATTGGTTGAGTGAAGTGAGGAACTGTGCTATTCCCATTTATCCTCTGTACTGTAAGGGGAATTGAGTTGAGTTGTTGTTGTTGTTGATGATGATGAAAAAGTGAAAGTGCAAAGATGTTCACTTTTCTGAGAATTTAAAATCTAAAATTTGGTGGTTCGAATACTTTTGGAGACACACATTTAACAAAGGAAAACTCTTAACAAAAAACACAATCAACGAAGCGATCAGAGAGGCTTACAACAATGAAATTGAAAATTTGTTACTGTATTTAATTAGCGATTTGTAGACTGGAAACTAGAATCGTCTAGTTAAAATTTTAAAAAAAACCACTAAGTTTTTTAGAAGACTATAATGTTAGTCATAGCTAAGTAGACGATGAAGGGAAAGTGGGAAGGTTCGAACCTTTTGCATTCAAAGAGGAGGTGGTTAGCAGATTCAGCAGACTGACAATGATCATACAAAGGGGAGTCCACGAGCCTTATTTTTGCATATATTGCTTTAAGTTGGATTGCGTTGCTTTCGAGACGCGAGATTAAGATGTCGTATTTTCGGTTTGGGAGTTGATTGAGGGAAGTTTTATTAACAGGGTAATCAAAGGGTAAACGTTTGTGGTGTTTTGAGTTGATCCAGAGGTTATTGAGTTCGTGGTTTGAGTCTAAACATGCTGAATATGACAAGTCTTCATGGGAGATAAAAGGGAAGGCTAGAGGGGCATTGGTGGCTTGTTTGGCCAGTTTATGCGCGGTTTCGTTGGGGGGGGGATTGCCAACGTGTGCTGGTGTCCAGGCGATCGTAAGAGATTTCACTCTTGCACTTGCTGAAACGATCTGTTTTTGTAAGAGGAGGATTCTGTGAGGGGATTTATGGGTAGCCGAGATGAAGGCAGTGATTGCGGACTTACTGTCCGATAAAATAACGTAATCAAGATACTAGGGTGGTGAATTTTGTGATTGCTAACCAAATCGCTAAAACTTCTCCGGTAAAAACTGAGTTAATAGGATGGATTTGAGAGATAAAGCACATGTTGTTCCTTGAATTAATAGCGGCAATACCTGTGTTCGTATTGTATTTCGAGGCATCGGTAGCCAGGATGGTAAAATCTTTCCAAAGGGTGTGGAGGGTTTCCTGATAGAGAGCGAGGATTTCGTTGGGATTTTTCGTAGTTTGATATGGAAGATCATGTACATAAAGACAGAGGTTCGGGAGATCTGTTAGGAAAACTGGAATGTGGAAGGGAATGATATTGTATTTACTTATGCCTTTTTGGTTGAAGATGTCCTGAAACTTGAGAAAAAGAATGGAATTTATGCAAAAGGCGATTCATTGGGGAGTGAGATCCAAGGAAACAGTGGTGGAGGTAGAATTTTTTTGCTGCTAAAAGGAGTCTGTGCGATATTGAGGTGGTGCCAGCTTCTTTGTGAAGGATATGAATTGGAGTTCAGCGTGGGAGCCCCATTGCTGCTCGGAGGCTAGAGTTGTATATTGTTTCAACTACTCGGAGGTGGGATTTTGGCGCAGAGAAGAGAATTGGGCTGCCATACTCTAACATACCTTTAAAAAGGGTCACCACATTTACTGGGGACCAGGCAGCGATCGCATTTTCAGATCTATGGTCACTCCGATCCTAGCCGACCAATTATGCTGAGACGAATTGTACCCACCGAGAATAATCATTGCAACAAGTTGTGCCCACAACAAATTGCCGTTGCTTTTAGTCGTGCCTAAGATGAATTGTGCCGGCGACAAATTGTGTCCTAGACGAATTGTAATTGCAGCGTGTCGTGCTCACGATGAATTGTTGTTGCAGCGAATTGTTCTCACGACGGATTGTCCCACGACCAATTGTGCGAGATGAATTGTCGCATGAATTGCGTGAGACGAATTGAGGCAGAACCCATCGGAAATTTCAGTTAAAATAGTTTCCTAAATTGCAAACATAAGAAAAATTCTTTTCTTATATTTTCTAAGATCTGCAAGGTTATTTATAATTATTTAAATTAGCTGTGATTTTTCTTAAAAAAACATTAATTTATACATAATTTTCATAACATTTAATTGAGGAATTCTTTCGTTAAAAATTGTTAACTGAATCGGAGGCGAGAGTCGTGCACTTTTTGAGGGTGAAATAGCAATTTTCCAGTCTGTGCACCAAATTTGGATGGTGGTGAGGGCATCTTGGAGTTTAGCAATGACTCTGTCAAAATATTTTGCAGCGTAATAAATATAGATGTCATCAGCGAACACAAGAATTTGAACTCCAGCGGGAAGGTTTTTGTGAATGTCTTTAAGATAAAACATAAAAGGAAGGGGGGAGAGTACACTGCTTTGCAGGAGGCCCTGGTGTTGATGGAAATCGTTAGATCGGGTGTTGCTCCAAGAGATCTGGAAGGTTCTATTTGAGAGAAAGTTTTGTAAGAAGAGCGCCTCTTTTCCAGATATGCCGGCCGAGAAAAGTTTATTGAGGAGACCATCAATCCATACGTTGTCGTATGCGGAGACGAGATCGAGTGCAACGCAGACGATATATTTCCTCCGTTCACTTGCTTCAAGTATGTCATGGTAAAGTATTGAGTGAGTTGTATTCCAGTCTCGAAAAGGGAGGAAGACAGTGTGGGAGGGAGGGAAGATATTTTGTTGAAGGCTAAAATTAAGGAGCCTTTGCAGCAGAATACGTTCGCAGACTTTCGCGAAAGTAAAGGTGAGAGCAATCGGTCGATAACTGCGAATTTCTGAGGGTTAATTTCTTGGTTTTAAGATCGGAACGATTTTCGTTAGGGTCCATGAACTAGGGGGTGGGCTGTATCTTGAATGTCATTAAAGAAGTTAGGGATCTTATTTGGGTAACGGGAGTGAATGAAAAAAAATATAAATGGAATGAGGTTAGCCGGAGTGTGGTCTGGTCCGGGAGCCGTATTCTTTGTTTGAGGTATAGCTGCTTGCAGTTCGGTAGACGAGAAAGGGGCACCCAAAGCGTTGTTGCCTGTGCCCCAAAGCGAGAAAGGGATTTAGCATGGGCCTTGAGCATGGAAGAGGTTTTCACCGAGGAGATTAGCTTGGTCGAGTGGACAAATGATAACTGTCGCTTGGTGGGTTAAAATCAAGTTTCCTAAGGGACATGAGGAATTTCTCGTTGAGATACTTTTTAAGATTTTAAAAATGTTCTTTGAGGACCCTAAATTGGCACAAATGTTATCCCAAGAAATTCTTTTTCTGCTTTTAATGTAATGGTGGAGTAGTGCGGAGTATTGTTTGTATTTGAGCCAAAGTGTTGATGAGACTTGTTTTTTAGCTTTCCGCAAAAATTTGCGCTTTTGACCTAACAGAAAAGCGCATTTTTAGTCCGACCACGGAGTCGTGGGATGAGGGGAATATTTTGGGGTTCGGGTATTATTTTTGACTGCAGAATTCCTTGCGTTGAGATTATTATTGGACAGAACTTGAACGATTGCATTTTGTGCATTTTACCAATGAAGTTAACTTTAGTTTAAATTGGGAAATGTTCACTATCAAAAGGGTCTAGAAAGACTGAAAAGGAAGATTTTTGGAAAAGTTCGGGAGAAACTGGAGTAAGATCTAGTAATGACTGTTGATGATGCGGACCGCTAAAATGGGTGGGAGTATTTGTATTGAGGATAGTAATATTATTTGACAGGATCCAGTCAAAAAAAAATTTCAGCAGTTTGGGAGGCCGAGACCGAGCCGAAGGCACGGTGTCTCACGTTAAAATTTCCGACGATGATGAAAGGTTTGTGAATGCTGGAAAGAAAATTTTTCAACCATTGTACGAAATACATTCTGCCTGGTGAATAAATTTTTACTACCGTAATTAACCTGGATTTTGACACCGAGTATCTCAATTCGGGAAGGGGGGAGATTATGGAAATCAATTCTTTGAAATGGTATATGTTTTATAGGTGCCACCTCTATGGTTAGGCGGGTCACGATCCTGTCGGAGGGTTAATTTACCCTTAAAATTTAACTGATCATCTGCTTGAAGAAAAGATTCTTGGATGGCGATGATATCAGTCTTCGTGAAAATGTTTTGAGTCAATCAGTGGCTTTTATTTCTAAGTCTTCTAGCATTCCATTGAAGGATATTAAATATCGGAATTAACACAGTTTATAAGAAATAAAGAAAAAAAAATTTTTTTTTTAAAGTTTCTCTAAACGCCTGGGACAGAGTAAGTAGTAATAGTTTTTTTTCTTCTTAAAAATCATTTTATAAAGGTTCAAGAGATAATTAATCCTCATCGTTATTCAACGGCATTAGAGGCATTGATAAGGAGCTGTCCATAGGCATATGCAGATCTTGGACTACAGGTTGGACAGCTGTTGGGAGAGGTTTTGAAGTCAATTGCACATAAGTTGGAGGTGTGTTGAATTTCTTCTTATTTTTTGCTCGCTCTGGAGAGAGGGTGGGTGGATTGAGACTTTGGTTTCTGTAGATGCACCCTGGGGAATGGTGCTTCGTTTGATATTTGTTATCGCTGGGGTAAGTATATTATTTATAGAGGCCGTCAAATTCTCAATTTATTGGGCCGCCAGTATAGAAACTTGTTCTGCGCAGGTATTCTCTGTTGCATGGATCCCGTGAACTTGTTAAGTTCCGATTTTAACTCGCCCTCGGGTAATGTATTCTCCTGGCACAGACTGAGTTATTTCTGCGTATGAGTTTTTTTTAAATATGCTATTCTTCTAGCTTCGCACATCGGAACATGATGAGTAGACTTAATTCTGATTAGTTTTTCAAAATTTAAATAGGAAGGGCAATTCCGCTGATTTGGATTATGACTACCATTACAATTTCTGCAACACGAGTCTCTATTGCAAGGGCCCTGATGTTCAGAGTAGAGGCCTTCACGGTTGTGGCATCTGGTTGGGGATTTACAGTATTTGTCGGGATGCCCAAAACCTCAACAATTCTTGCATAAAATCATACTACCTTGGAAAAGTTTTGTTTCATAGTATTGATACCAGAGAAGGATTTTCTGTGGGACAACTGTACCTAAGATGTTGAATAGGATTGTGGTTGCCGGTTTCCCTTTTAAGAACCGACGAATTTCTAGAGCCTTTGTTCTGTTTTCTAAATTGAACTTCCGACTAATGTCCGAAACCGAGGTTTTAACAGGAAAGTTCTGGAGGATAAATTTAGTGGAAATACATTCTAGAAGGCATTTAGCTGCTATTTGAATCTGTAGGATTGTGTTTACCTTTAAGATGTATTTCGCAATTTCTAAGTCGTCACATTGAACAAGGAACGACCCGCTTTTTTGGAATCTTATACTTTTAATTCTTTTGGTCGGTACAGTAAGAATGAAGTCTGCTTAAAGGCTTACCAGTGTGGTCTGTGGTATAGCACAAGATTTTTCTTTTGTTTCAATGCTAAACCATAAGTCTGTTGCGCCGTTATTTTTGGCTTAAACCAGTATATCTTCAATGGGCTCCTTGGAGTACCATTGGTAATCTAAGAGATTGGTCATTTTGACCGGATAGCCCCTAAAAGGTAAAGAGTCAAAGTGGCTTACCTGTTTTTTGGTAATCCTGAAATAAGCAGGGCATTATTTATCACCTTGCTTTAAATTCATGGATGTTCGCTTGTCATCCAAAACAAAAGTAGTGATACGCTGAAAAACTACAATGATTCGAACAAAAACTTCAACGCGATCTTTCTTTCAAAAAGCCTATCTTCTCTAAACACTGGTCTTAAGCAACTGTTTCTCGGCACGCGTGGAGAAAAGTGTACTTTAAAAGCACGAACACGTGAAGATCTGAAAACTCCAAGAAGAGGATTTTTGCTCTTCGCTTTTATCCTCTGTGTTGTAAGGGAGAGTTCGGTTGTAGGTGATGTGTTGAGTTGATGATGATGATGGAAAAGTGAAAGTAAAAGATGTTCATGAAGAAACTTTAAACTAATTCAATGCAAAATTTGCAGTTTTCCTAGAATTCAAAATTTAATGGTTCCAACACTTTTGGATAGACGCACATTCCTCAGTGGAAAATGGAAAACTCTTAACGGAAGCACTCTTTTCCCCAGGCGATCGGGGAAGCAAACACCGATGAAATTAAAAATTTGTTGCATTTATGAACATGTGAGATTTGTAGGTTGGGGACTAGAATCGTCTAGTCAAACCTGAAAAGAACACTAAATTTCTTAAAAGATTTTTGTGTTGTTCATAGCTGAGTAGACTGTGAGAGAAAAGTCAGAATACCCCGATGGAGGCACACAAAGGGGAGGTCGCAAAGCCTATTTTGCATTGCATTTAACTGAAATGTGCTACTTCGGAGACGAGATATTAAAATGTCGTAATTACTGTTTGGTAGTTGATTGAGAGAAATTTTGTTAATTGGGTGACCAAAGTGGAAGCGTTTGTGGTATTTCGAGTTGATCCAGAGGATATTAAGTCCGCGGTTTGAGTCTAAACATGATGAACATGACGAGTCTTCGGGAGAGATAAAGGGGATGGCTCGAGCTGCATTGGTGGCTTGTTTAGCTAGTCTATCCGCAATTTCGATAGGAGGAATGCCAAAGTGTGCTGGTATCCAGGTAATCGTTAGAGACTTCACTTTTGGTTGCATTTGTTGAAACGCTCCTTCTTTAAACAAAGCGGAGGATACTATGAGGGGATTTAAGGGGAGCCTCAGAATATAATGCGAATTGTGTTAAAGTATTAAGTATGTTTTTGTTTCATAATTCATCACTGCAAAGTTGAAGTATCATTTTGTGCAGTATTTTCTCCTTTTTTCTTCTTCTTCTATTTTTAGGAGGGAGGCAAATTTTTAAGGGGCTCATTTGACTAAGACCTTTTGTAGATGAGGCCCAGGATTGTACTCTTAAAAATTTGTTAACTCCTTATTTATACAAAAATAGGCCGCAATCGTAAGTATCTTCCTTTTGTTTCATCATTCATTCAATTCATCATTTTGAGCGAAAGCGTTTCACCGTTTTTTTTTTTCTTTAGGGTAGGAGGGAGCTGATTTTTTTACGAGCACTTTAGTCCTAAACATTTTACGGTTCGGGCCCCGGTTAGTACACATAAAAGTTTGTAAACTCTGAATTTTATGCAAATGCATTTGGCTGAAGATGCAGTTTCTAAGACTTATGGTTCCTAATTTGTGAAGCATTTACATAGCTTCAGACTAATTATAATAATAAAATATTCATTAAATAAAATTTTAAATTAACATTTAATTCATAGTGCAAAAAAAAGTAAATTATGTTTTAAAAATACATTAATTTTTAAATTCCTTCTTTCTTCATTTATTTTTGTATTTTTCGTTTCAAGAGGACATGGGGTTTTAGGGCCCCACCTTTAAGAAGGGCCACCGCATTTACTGGGGACCAGGTAGCAATAGCATTTTTAGATCTATGGCCACTCCGATCCTGGCCGACCAATTATGCAGAGACGAATTGTACCCACGGAGAATTGTAGTTGCAACAAGTTTTGTCCACAACAAATTGTCGTTGCTTTTAGTCGTGCCTATGATGAATTGTACTGGCGACTATTTTTCTTTTTTAAATTTAATTAGCCACAATAAAGAAGGAACGTTGCAAAGCTACGTGCTACATTAAAGACGTCTCTAGAGTAACTGAATAACTGTTCATATGGAAATCGCAGGTATCCGTCTCATACAACAACGCCCCCTATAGTTCGTTGCGATCGCGAATTGTTGCTGCAGCGAATTGTTCTCCCGACGGATCGTTCCACGACCCGATTGTGCGAGATGAATTGTCGCTATGATGAATTGCGCGAGACGAATTGAGGCAGAACCCATCGGAAATTTCCAATTTTCGAGGGGGACAAAATTAAGATACGCAGTCATAATAGTGTCCTAAATTACAAATATAGGAAAAATTATTTTCTTATATTTTAAATATCTGCAAGAAGGTTATTTACAATTATTTTTTTCTCTTTATTGCCTTTTGCTTTGGTGAATTTAAATCGATTGAGATTTAGGAAAATTTTCTTCAAGTCTGAAATATTGAAAGGAATGGCGACGCCTATGGCACGACGCCCATGCTGAATTGATTGTTTTACTTTGTTATTTTGTCTGATTTGGTCACTGTCCAGCAGTGGACTGATCGTTAAGACACGGTTCCCAGCAGATCACCGAAGTCAAGCCTCACTGGCTACGGTCAGTGTGCGGGTGGGGGACCACTTGGATCAGCCTGCGTAGGGATCGAGGGTGTGCGGTATTGGTCCTCNGCTGGATTTACCTCACTTCAGTTCGTTTTGGAGTGGTCAGGAGGGTTGTCGAGGTGCATACTTGGGGACTGGGTGTTTGCCGAGGCACACCACACGCAGTCATAATAGTGTCCTAAATTACAAACATAGGAAAAATTATTTTCTTATATTTTCTAAATATCTGCAAGAAGGTTATTTATAATTATTTTTTTCTCTTTATTGCCTTTTACTTTGGTGAATTTAAATCGATTGTGATTTAGGAAAATTTTCTTCAAGTCTGAAATATTTAAAGGAATGACGACTGCTGAGTCTCTTTTTTATTGTCTTCTATTTAAGCTATAAGCTTGTTTTATACTTATCAGGAAAGACTAAAACAATTTTTCTGCCTACTGGTTAAAATAAACTACAACTTTAACTTAACTTCTCCTACTGAGCTATTTGTATTTATTTTTGCTTATGTAAGGTTCAAAGACTATTACTATTTTATTTTTCCTTTATTGCAATTGAAATTAATTAATTCTAGTCATGCAAAATCGCGGAGATTACAATGCAGATCGATTTGAATGGTTTCACCTTTTCGGAAAATTGGGTGTTACAGCTCTTGGTCATCCTTTTGAATATGTGAAAGTATTGATTCAGGTAATATAATGTTTACTTCTAGAGAAAGTGTTTAGTTCAAATTCCCTTAAAATTCAACATTTGCGTTCATTTACTTCAGGCTTTGAGTCAGTTTTTTTATTTTATCTTCCAAAAGAAATTATTTTTAGTTTTGTAAAATGTAGCTTTCTAGAGAAACTTTTAATTTCTTTCAAGCTACTTATGCATCAGGCAAAGAAAAGCTCATTGTTAGTTATTTTTTTAAAAAAATGTTTATTCTCTCATAAATGTAATATTTGCTCCGATGTGGCTCGAAGTTATATCTTTCTAGTTGGACTCTGTCTTTGATGTTTTTTGTATTTTAAATTTAATTTATAAAAAGATTTCCATATCATGATCTATCTCAAAATTTCCAAGTCTTAGCGACTTGCAGACAGCAGTTTGCAAGAAACTAAGAAAATAACACTCATTCCCCCCAAACAAACCTCTATGTTTTTTTCTCTTTTTTTATAGTTTTTTCAAGTTTAAAAGCTATTTGGTACTTTGGCGATTGTAGTTCGTGCAACAGATCATAATGCAGAAATATCCCCAGATTGAGTCCCATTGCTTGTATTGAAAGACATTGAAATTTGCTGATTATTTGCCATAGATACTAACTATAATATTAAAATCTCCCTTGACATATAATAATTTTTGTAGGTAAAGTAGATGAGATAAAGAGAAGTTAAGTAACTATAGCTTGTGTGAAGCAAGTATAAAAGTTTTCTTAATGTTCTTAAAAATATAAATAAAACTGCATTTGGGGTAATAATTAATTTAAAATGGAAAGATTAATTAGTAATTGAGTTTTCTGTTTGCTGAAATTTTGATTTAATTTCTGATATTCATGCATCTTTTTCTTAAAGAAAAATCTTTTTTCCACCTTTCTCTTTTTTTTAATTACCCTTTAGATTTTCATTATATTTCTGTGGATGTTGAAAACCGCCAAAAATTTCATCTAAAAATTCATAAACTCTAATCGAGATTACTTTTAAATCCATAGATTAAGAAGATTGAGATTAAGTGTTTATAATTTGGATTTTTCAGTGAGCTTTATTAAGATTCATTAATAAATTAATTTGTAAAATTATATGTTTCAATGAAAGCTGAGATTTTTATGGTCAGCTATGCTATGTAATTCTCTCATATTTTTATTAATAGTTTATTTTTAAAATATTTCTACCTTATGTAATTCAAATTTTTTGTTATTAACATTCTATTATTTCAAGATAATTAGAACATTTTTTAAATGTTTATTGACCTGTTCATCTATTAATAATGTATCAATATTTTTCTTCAAAGTTTAAAAAACTTACTATAATTTATTAATAATTTAGTTTGCAAATTATTATATTATCCTCCGTAGATTGGGCATGAACCATTCCCACCTAAGCCAACTAGGACTCTATTAGGAAAACCAGCTTTAGGTCTGACTGGTGCATTTGCTTATAGTAAGATATCTTTTCATTATTCTCATAATAATTTATTATAACTAATAGTTAATTTAGCTTTTTGAATCATTTTTGTATAAAAATTGTTTCTGATCTTGTTTGTTTCATTTTGGAATATTTTGATTTGTAAAAATTTTTTTTTTACTATACCTAGTTTGCGAAGATAACAATATTGTAGATTTACTAGAAGGAATGGTAGGTAGCTTTAAATATGGAGTCTATTTTTCAATAACTAGTATTGATGAATTCTTGAACATTTAAAAACATTTCTGAAATACGTTTTTTAATTTTGATTGTTTATCACCTTATTGCATTTTTTTTTAAAATTAGAATTAATACAAGTTTTATATATATTGAAATAGGTTAAAGGTCAAAATACTTTCATTTGTTGAGAAAATATTCAAATTATTTTTCATTAAAGAGTGTTTAAATCATCAAAAGCATATTAGTCTAAAAATTGTGTAAGTGCCACAATTTTGTATATGTAAAGATTATACCAATAATGTAAATTACTTGCCTTATCAGTTCTAGATAGATCATTAAAATATTTTATTGTTACTTCGAATAAATCAGGTTGAAAAAAACTCGTCTAGAGCAGAGATTCTGTAGGAAATTTTTAACCAAATTCTGAGGCATAAACAAAGTATTATTCTGAAATAAATTATTTACTACTGCATATTTACAGAGCTCATTCTAGGCAGAAAAAAAGGGCAGGGTACAAAAGTTTAAAAAAAGGTCATTATTATTTTAAAAAAGCAATAATTTCTTTTTATGGGCTTTACACATTCTATAAAAAAACATTGTCAATTTTAGTAAAGGAATTTTTTTTTACTTTACTAAACATAGCAAATCAATCATATTAATTACTAATTTTTATTAATAAATTAACATAGATATCGAGTTAATGAGCTAATTAGCTTAGAAATTTATTTAAAATGCATGCATATATTAATAAAATAATAAATGTATGTTTTTAAGTGTGTGTAGTTATGATTTAATAATAATTATGGTTTAATGATAGTGGAAGTAACTGCAAACTTGCATAGACGAGTGCAACAAGGGGGTGTGATGGCTATTTTTCCTTTCCCATAGAAGTCAATGTATTGACAGCAATGACAATTTAAATAAAAAGAGTTGAAAATAACAAAAGTTTAAGAAATCCATTGTACAGTTTGGGGGGAAAATAAAGAAGGGCTGAGGAAAGAAAGGGCAAAAAGGGTATGGTATGGAGTCTATTACATCAGGGCACTAATTTACTTCAGGGGCAACAGGGTGGATTCTTTTGACAAAAAGGGCAGCACAGTGCTGCGCCCTGTTTACCCTGCCTAGCATGAGCTCTGATATTTATCAATTGATTTTTGCGCAAGTTTTTAACAGGATTTTGACTGACAAAAGAAGTCACATTCTAAGGTCAACTATGCATAAATAGGCTACAGAATTTTTATTTTTTGAAATAAACTAACTGAAATTTCATTCTCAGATTAACTATGTATAAATAGGTTATAGAATTTTTATTTTTTAAAATAAACTAACTGAAATTTTGTTTACTGCTTAATAAAATGTTTATTTGCCTTTCAGTGAAACATATAAAGAGTATAGATGGAGTTTTTGGGCTTTATAGAGGCTTATTTCCAAAGTTATGTACAAATTTTGTGAGCATGTCTACATACATAATTGCATATGAGGTAAATCTAAAGTTTTTTTTTAAAAAAACTAATTTTGTAAAAATACATTTAAAAATAGTTTTGATTAGTTTTAAGCATTAATTTTATTTTATTTGCTATAGTATAGGTAACAGAGTTCTCCCTAGGAATTAAAAAAAAAAAGGGTTGGGTGCTTCCTCTGAAAAAGGCGCTTTGAGTTTTGAAAAGGTTGAGTTTTATTATTGAAACAGTTAATTATTTTTTTTTCAAGATAAAATATGAATTAAAATGCAGTGTTTTTAAGTGGTGGCAGCTTATTTTTACAAAAATCGCAGAGAAGACCCATTTATTGGGATCAAAGGACAAGCTGCCCTTCAGAAAATGCTTCGTGGGAATACTAGGTAAAATTTGGGTGTTTAAAATAGTGATATGATATTGTTTTTTATTTGATTGTATTTTTTTAATTACTTTTTCTTCAACAAAAGAAGACAGATTTTTTAGTTTTAACATGTTTGTTTTTAATTTTATTAAACTTAACCTTGTGAGGTCTTTTTAGCTGTTAACTACTTATTTTGGCTTTAACTATTCTTTTTGTCTTTAACTAAGTTTACATCAATACTTTTTATACATTTAAAATGTAAAAGTTATAAATTTGTTTTTATTCCTTCTTCAGGATTAATGTTTATTAAATGAGTATAAGATAATATTTTTGGTCAAATGTGTAAATATAACTTTTGGTTTTAATGTGGTTTTTTTAACTGTACATTTTTTTTTTATCTTCTTACAATGTTTTTATAAATTCCTTCTCAGAAAAGAAACGCATGCCTTATTTAATCTATATATTCTTAAAATTTAAACACATTTTATGCATAAATTTCATCAAAGTGATATATATTTATACATAAAGTTACTGTTGTTCACTTGTAACCTTTTTGGTATTTGGAGTTTATTTAAACTTTTTAGCATAGACTTACACATGGATGCATTTAAGGCAGTTTCTTATTTCATTTACAAATATTTTATTTTATTAACATATCTGTAATAAAATATAACAAAAAAATTTACTAATTTTTATCTTATTTAATTGCATACATTGTGCTAAAAATTAAAAATTTTCCATGGAGCTCACATCAGATAAAATTAGTCATAAATAAAGTTAGTAAATCATTTACATAACAGATGCTCCTTATAATTATATTGTGCAAGTTGTAATTTTAGAATTAGCATTAGAGTAGCAAAATCAGTCATAAATAAAGTACGAAAATCGGCCACATAACACATCCCTCATAATAATATTGCAAAAGTTTTTTTTTTTTTTTTTTTTTTTTTTTTTTTTTTTTTGGAGAACTTCTATTTTTTTCTTTTTTTTTTAAGGATAATACTTTAGGTTTTCTCTTTCACATCTCTTTTAATTTATTTGATTTATGCAAAGTTTTACTATAGGAGTTAAATAAAATAGTAAGCAAAATTTACGTTTTATTGGATCTATGATCTATGCTTTGTTTGACTGCATTTATCAGGAAAAGTAAAGTAAATGATTATGAAAAGCAGTATAAATTTTTTTAGCTGGAAGTGCAGTGAGTGATCGTTAAAGTAATAAAACATTTCTAATCCACAATAAATTATTTGATATTCTTTTCTTTCTTCTTTTACTAGGCCAGAAAATAGATTGTGTGTTTTTTTTTGTTGAGATTTAAGGTGTTTGAAGTATTTATTTAAAATGTTTGTAAAATTTATCTGTCTATAATTGTTTTGGATTTGATAAAAGAAATATCTTAGAATAATTTTTTAGAAATTTATAGTTTTTTTATTTAAGAAAATGAAGCATGAAAAATATTTCATAGTGAAAAAATTCTACTTTCTTCCTAATTGAACACAATTTTTATGAAGAATATAATTTAGTTTGTCATTTCAGAAAGTACCCTCATTAGATTCTAATAAACAGTTGCAACAAATATCAGAATCTGAATTAACAGATGAACAAAAGCTAGCTTTGTTTGCTCATGAGTTAATGAAATCAACTGTGGCACGGACTGCATCCATTATTGTTAGTCATCCTTTTTACAGTAAGTAATAGAAAATATTTAATCAATGGCTTGCAATACTATACTGTGCTGTTTATATATGCTACTGTGAATGACAAAAATGGTGGTTATTGACTTCTAATGGTGAATGTTGATAATCATATAGTCGCATTGGTAAATGTCCGAATTATAAACTAGGTCTAGTTAAGTACCACTCCCCGGTATGTCATACTTCAATGTTTTTTAAATGCCACTACCCGGGGTGCATTTAACCGGTACCTCGAACACTGTTGTTACTCCTAATCTATCCTCAGCAGATATTAAAATATCGCATAAATATAATAATATTAACGAGCCAGGGTTGGCAAGATTTTGCCGCTGGTGGAAAAAACCATGGTAAATACCGGTAAAAACCGTCCTGNACAAATATTTCGGACATTCACCAAAGCGACTATGTGATTGTTGACATTCACCGGGGAAAGTCTACATTCTCTTGATTTCGGTCATTCACAGTAACATATACTTATGATAGTTGCTATATCCTCTAGATGTTGGAAAAGAAGAAACTAAATAAGTTAAGGCTGGCAATATGTTTCCGTGATGTCAAATTGAAAAAATAATTTCTTCTTTTTGGTATATATATTTGGTATTTTGGTGTTCCAAAAGATTAAAATAATTTACTTGTGTAGTACAATTTCTTTTGGAAAATTTACTGAATGAAATTATCTTGCATTACTTTCCAGATATGAATACTAATTCCAGTGCAGCCTCATTCAATTTTGAGCAAATGTGAAAGTACAATTATATTTTATTCTAAGAACAAAATGTTTTTTGATCTCTTTTTTTAGAAAAAGAAACTAGGGGGAATTAAAAGAAGATAAGTAAAGTGTTTTTAGTGATCAAAATTGTCAAAAAAAGAAAACAAAAAAAATCAGTGCTAAAAAATATTTAATATGCCCTACATTTCTATCGTTAACAAATTTCACAATTCAATAACCGAAAAGATGACATTTTCCTGCTATATTTAAAATTATTCGTTATACTGAAATTTGACATTTTAAAACACACTTAGGCACTTAAAATCAAGTACTACACCCCTGTAAAAAAGTAGATAAAAAGTTTTAAATTTCGAAAATATTAGTAAAATGGTTATTAATCAATGTTTACCTTTCATTATTGACTAATAAAAGCATATGTGTGATAAGTATACTAATCTAATTATTTGACTTCTCTCTTGCCTTTTTGTATTTCTTGTTAACAAGTAATATCTATATTATATTTAAATTTGTAAGCATTTTTTATTTTTGTGATTAGTGGGGAGTGGTGATTTCCAATTTTAATTCCTCTAATTTGAAACTATTTTGTTGTTTCAGGATTTTTTGTCATTAATGATGGCTGTAGTTATTTATAATACTAATAAGAAAATAATTGCATTACTAAAATTATAACTTTAATTTCAACCTTATATATAAAATTTAGAGAAAATGCAGAAGCTAAGTAGTTATTTGTAATATTGAATTGGACATAATTGTATGTCAATTAAATGCAAACTAATAAATACATTTTAAATTTTATTTAAAAAATAAAGAAAAAATTGAGGGCTATTAGTTTAATATTATATTGAATGGATGATAATTGTAACCATGAAATAATTTCCTCTTGAATCATATTTAAAAATTGTGCAGTCAGAAGAAAAACTGGATTACATTGAATAAAGTTTAATTTAGTGATCTGATATAAAATGAAAAGATTTTAAGTGTCATAGAATAATATTAGATGAAATGGAAAATATAACACATTGTGTAGCTACTGAAATTATAAATTTCTTGTGGCTCAATTGTAATTTTTTTTAAATAAATAGACATATTTTGATTTGCAATTATAGCACTTCCCAAATAAAAAGTTACACAAACAAATCAAAATTATTTTTGTCCCCACCCCATAGAACTAAATTTCAACTATGTTCTTGGGGTGTTTAGCATCAAGATTAATCCAGAGATCTCAAGCTTTAGTCTCGGAGAAATCAACTTCTAAATGCAGTTAGTATTTATAGTTATCAGTTTGTTGCTTGCTTTTGTCAGCAGAATTAACATTTATTTAATTAGTTTACCAGTAACTTTTTTTTTTTTATGCATTTGAAAAAGTGTTGCATTTTTATTGCATTTTTATGTATATTATTAGATCAATTTTAGAAATTTGTCCTGAAATTTGCTTATTAAAGTTTTAATCAATAATATTATATTTTTCAGTTATCACACTGAGATCCATGGCACAATTTGTTGGCCGAGAAACAAAATATTCGTATGTATATATTTTAGCATTATCTTCTAAATTATTATCACTTTGTGATACACTGGTAATGTAATAATATTGTAACACTTGAAATTTCTGGACAGCATTATTATGCTCTCTGATATTTTTCTAATTTACATGAAAAATTAAGAATTTAAAAATATATTTTTATGAAGGTAGTAAATAAATTAAGTAAATGAAAAGCACACTTCTAAATAATGTAATTTTAATGTTTTAGGGCATTGCTTGCTAGTTTTTGATATGTAATTACCTATTCCTAGTTCTAGTTAGATTAATTCTTTAAACTGTTTCAAAGTCATTATTTCCTGACTAAGTTCTGTTTGATTCTAAATTTGTATGTAAAAAGATTTAAGAAAACAACACAGCAAAAATTTTATAATTTTCTGTTGTGGAGACATTTTTCAACCTTAAAACATATTTATAATGCAATACTTAAGTTTAAATTTTTTAATATTAGTTGAGTGGCATCTGGTTCAAAATTAACAAAGTTATAAATTCTTTAATATGTAAAAAAAATTATGAAACAAAGAATAATTACGTAATTTTTTTTTTAAATGGAGTAAATTGATATTTATATATTGAGTTGGTCATTAATGCCTGAACTTTTTTACAGGTCTAATAGTCTGCAAACATCTGATTTAAATAATTATATAATAGTCTATTTTTTATTTTTCCTTGTATTTTAAAAGTTAAAAAAGTCTACTCATAAACTACAGTATAAAAATAATTTTTTTTAATTGGAATTTAAATTTTTGTAAGTTAAATCAATGTTAAAGTCCTTTTTTCTTATAAATAAATAAATTGAATAAGTAGATAAAATAAATAAATGAATGGAAAAAAATATTTTTGTTTTAAAAATATTGATTAACTCAATTTATATATCTCTTTTTTTAGAGGTATCTTTGGATCCTTGAGAGAAATATTCAATGAAGATGGTATCTTAGGCTTTTTCTCGTAAGTTTTTTATGTGAAATTTTTTTTTAAATATTTTTAAATTGCTTTGTTATATTTACTGATCTGTATATCAATTTCTGATATTTTTATGCATTATTTTCTAGTTAGTTTATTCAACTCGAATTTGTATCTTAGAAAGACACTATAGTGGGACGAGATTTTTTTCATTGTTAATTCTGTTTCACTTCCGTAATTAGTTTAAAATTGAATGGTTAAGAGAAAGAGGATTTCAAATTACCCTAGAATGCATCCTGAAATTTCAAATGAAGTAGAGATGTATTCAAAATGAAAATTATTATGTATGAAAATTTATAATTATTATGTTAATTTATAATTATACCATGAGGATTATATATCCACACTGCATAATTCTGAGTAATCTTGCCATAATATTTGTGTGTAATATCTTCTTAAAGGGGCATTAATTGTGCATTTCACACATAAAATAGTTACTTATGAAGGTGAAAGAGAATTTGTTATGAGGGGTTTCTCCCGCTGTATCTCTTTAGTTACTCTACAGCCAATGCTGTCCCTAATTTGCTTTTTAAAAAAAACTTAAGACTTTGAAGCATTTTGCCCAAGGAAATAAAAAAAAGCCTTTGTTTGAGTGCCTAAAACTTGAAGGAGAGCTTTAATTTTAAAACTGTCTGTTTCTATTTGGTTACTGAAAAGAATTATCTTGACTTTAAAATAGGTAAATAGCTTTATTTTTAAAATATGAAGAAAAAGGCAAGATTTTTCCTTTCATATGAAAATGATTTTAATCAGTGAATAATTCTCAACTTTTGCATATTTTTGTGAGTCTAAAAAATAATGCAGTTTAGTATCTTTTCTAAATATTAAAAAAAGATTACAAATATATTTCATTTTACAAAGTTGTGTTTTTTTTTCTGCACAATTACATCTTGCTAAGTTTTCATTATTATCATAAAACAGCGATTTCCAACGTGCTTTGTCCCATTCCACCCTTTTAATTATTGTTAGAAGTTTATCACCCTTCTAACTCCATATATATATTTGATATATTTTTTCAGATTTTAAAAAAGATTACTACCATATTTTTGAAATTAATCTAGAAAAACATTGAACGAAAATGTTTATATATATCCATACTTTTATTGTTTTTTTTAAAGTAATTGTTTAATAATGCAAAATAAGTTATTAATCCTTCAACTATTAGAAAAAAGTACTGTAAACAACGTATCTGTTATTTTATTTTTGATGGATACATATCATTGTTTTTTTCTCATTAATTACTTGGTGGCAAAGACAAAACGTGGGCCACTTTCATAAGTTTCACGAGGGGGGCGAGACTTTAAATTAGCAAGTTATAAAGTATTAAATCAAGCTTTCAAAAGATTTAATTCTTTCAATATTTTGATTTTTTTTTAAAAGAAAATATTTGTAACTAAAATTTTTGGAACAAATCCAATAAAATTTTTTGGAACAATATGGACATGATCTAAGTCTCTAATTCTTCCAGGAAATTTAGAAAGATTAAGTTGATAAAGTTACCTACATACTTATAATTTATTTTTTAAATTTCTTTTCAAAGGAAATAATAATTTTAATCAATGTAATTTCCTTGTTTGAAAATTTATTCTTTCTTCTGCTGTCTCCTTGGTTGGTTTATTTTCAATTAAAACAATTAGTGTTCACATCTGATTTTTTTATTTACTATTATATATTTGCAATGCGCGCCACTTTCGCCAGTTTTACTGCCAGCTTGACAAGTTAAAGTTTTCAGTCAAAAGCAACCCTGTCATCTCTGTGATAAATATTCTCCATCAAATTAAGAATTGTCACTTATCTTTTCTACCTCTTCCCTAGCTAGCTTAGTTACCGAACGATCGATAATGTTTTGGTTTGGCGATGTTATACTAATGTTATGTTTGTTTAATAAAATGTTTTAAGAAAAATTAGCATTTCATATTCTTTTCACATTTATTGTTTTTGTTTATACTTAGTAGGTTAGCTATCTGGTCACATTATTTATCAAAAATGGGGGTCTACGACCAGTGTATTCTTTTTAAATGAGTTTTTCAACTATAACGTAACGGCACTTTTACTTGAAAAAGAAAAATAATTATTTAATTATCAATTATTTTGTGAAACTTCTGATTTTTATTTAAGTACAAAATTTTTTTCTGAAAAATTTTATCAAGAATTTGTTTTATTTTCTGAGTAAATATTTATGATGTTTTTATGCATTTAGGTTGTAATGATTTTACATTTCATAGTCCATTTTTGTTTGAACAGCAATTGTCGCTGTGTTTAGTGTCAATTATAGTAGCCAATGGCTTGCTGCAAATCTTTTAGACATGATTAATTTTTTTTTAAAATTTCAAACTGTAGAATTTGTATATCTACAATCTTTGTTACTTTTAAAAATAATAAATGGACTTTTTTCACTATAGTTAAGTAATGGATAATATTCTTGGGGCTTTCAAAAAAATCAAACCTAGAATATTTTCAGAATATAATAAATTGCACCCTTATATAGTATATAAACTACTCTATAGCATATACCTCTCCTGCTGTGTAAAATTGCTTGTATCATAAATTTTTTTTGTTTCATTTTCTGCAGATAAATTTTTCATTTTGTAAGTGTTTTTACCATTCCGTTTAGTGGGTTAGTTCCTCGACTAATAGGAGAAATTCTCTCAATGCTATTGGCAGCTTCTGCATCTGTGCTGATTAACACTTACTTAGTCGATGAAGAGGTATGTTCTGCAATAATGGTCTAATATAGGTATATCGGCCATTGTTAATATTTTTTTTTAGTTTTATATCTGAAGACTTAGTTTTGAGAAACTGAATATATTATATTGTATTTAAAACTATCAAGTCCCTATCTGAAAAGGAGTCAGATTTTTGTACTGTCTTGCAGATAATTTAATTGCTTTCTGAGTTTTTTTTTTGTTTTTTTTTTTAATTTAAAGTCTTAACTTATATTTTTTCATTTGCATTATTCTTATTACATATTCATTATTCTTATTATTTCATTTGCATTATTCTTATTCAGTGAAACTTCCAGGAAAGATCACCTCTATGTAGCAACAACTTTTGGGAGACACATAATTTTTTCCATTGACTTTTTGTCTATGAAAACTTTTGGAAGAGGCCATTCAAACCTCTTTCAGCAACTAGGCAAACATCTGCACCAAATGCCGGAAAGGTCAAACATAAAAAAATTTAATTTCAAAATATTTGTGTGAGACTCTTAATTTAGAGAGCTCTTTTTGACCTCGTGTTGCAATCAGAGTGCACTTAAGACGATGCTATCAATGAATTACTTTAATTTGAAAGTTAAATTCGAAGCAAAAAGCTATGTTAGAAACAAAAAGATATTTTAGAAAAAATCTTGAACTGACCTCTTTCATCTTTTAAAGCTAAGTAATTTTTATGATATAGAATTACACGCAAACTTAAACAAACAACATAATTGTTTATTTGTTTGAAATAGCTTTATCATTCATAATTGGTAAATTTGTTTTTACACGTAATTATATCAGTTGGGATTATTTTTAGAGAGGTTAAATTTTATTCATAGATTCGTCTTTTCATGATGCTAACAGGAGTGGCATTTCTGCTCCAAGAAAATGACACTGGCTAAAAATAAAATCATATACCTTTGATAACAATTTTGAAGTTAATGGAGGTAAGCTGGAGGACCAACCTCCATCAACGACCATTTTACTGTGGAGAGTGGTCGCTCCTGAGAAGTTTCACTGTATTTTGTGTGTGTGTTTTTTTCTTTTTAAAGAAAAAAGTTTTTAAAGCAACCAGGTTTTCATCTTCTTTTATCTCATATATTCCTTTTCCTGTTTATTTTAAAAGATCATTCAGTCTTTCTCATATGAAATGCAAATTTAAGATGTTAATTTTGACCTGGATTATTTTTTAAATGTGTTACATAAGTTGTACAACAGAAACTGAAGAAAATTATAGATATTAATAATAGTTTGTGTTCATAAACTAAATGATTTACATGCAAATAATATAAATGCATGCTTACTTCAATTGTAGATTGGTATTCGGAAGAGAATTATCTGATAAAATATTCCTTAAAATACTGGTTAAAAATTGTTATTGAAAAAAAGTCCCTAAGTTACAACTATTGCTAATATTTGAAAGTACTAAATAGTGTTTGGTGTTGTACTAAATATTTATAAGTAAAAGTTTTAAGTTTATAAAATTTTTAATTAATATCCAAAAGTTTATTTTTATTTCAATTTTTCTTAAAACAAAATTATTTTGGAATTAGTTGAAATCCAGTACAAATAACACTTTAAATTATGAATTTCCTCGGTGGTATGTTTTAGGAACATTATTAAAGAAATGTTCTGTTTCACAATTTTTTTTATGTTTCTTTTATTTGATTTTTTTTTTCCATTTTTTACAATATTTTTGAGCTTTTTTTTCCCTCATCTCATTTTTTTTATCTATATCTTTTTCTTGGTAATTTGCATTGATTGAGAAACACCACTTTTAAGTATATTTGAGAGCATTTATTAATTATTGACATTATGTGTTTCATTATTGTGGTGTCTTAAGTTTGTTATTATTGAATGTTTCTATTTTGCTAAATGTTTTTTTTTCTTTATAATTGTTTAGGATACAATTTATTGTGCTCTTATTTCTTTGTTACTTATTTTTATATATATTTTATTTTTCAGTCAGCTAAAACATATGTTAAAGCCTTAATGGGAGTAAGTAATGCCTTTTTAAAAATCTTTCCATTTTATTAAAAAAATTTAAGCATTTACATGTACATTGAAACCTGTTAAGTTGGTCACCTTTCCAAGATGAGCACTTGTCTAACAAGGAAATGCCCTACAGTGTTTAAGAAAATTATTTAAAAATAATTTTTTTCTTAAATATCATTGTCCCTTTTTTAGTTTACTTGTACAATCAAGTACTGAATTTGCAAAATGTTAAATGTCCTTTTATAAGTTGGCCTCCTATTTTAAGTGGGGTATCAAATTGTTGCAATGCAAGTTGTTAATTCACACAACTGTTAGTGTATTATTATTAAGCTGTTTCTTTAGGTATTAGTTTTTTCTTTATAAGTATTTTTTTATTATTTATAATTGCATGAACTGGTGATATTTTTAAGCTTTTACTTTTACTAATACATCTAGTCTTTATATTATGAAGGTACATATCTCATTTAGAGCTCTTTAATAAAATTCAAATGTCCCCCCCCCCCAATCTTTAAAGTATTAAGCTTGTGTAAACAGCATCATCACTGCTGTAGTGTAATTTTAAGCTATTGGAATGCTATATTTAAATTGTTGATGTTTTGTGTGTATGTAAAAATTGTATACATAATGTAAATCACTATGAAAAATGGGGGAGAGGGAATGAAAATGCCCGTTAAAACTTTTGCATTTTATTCAACCACACAATAATTAATTTATTTGGTAGGTTTCTAATTTATTGTTGAACTTTGAACTGATATTTTTTAATAGTTTTTCCTGTTTAAAATTTCATTTTTTAATGTAGGAATAATTAAATTTAAAAGTGCTTTTGTGAAAAAATATTATGTAAGGTAATTAAGAATTTTTTTTTTAATCTCTAGGTAAGCCTCTAAATATCTGATTCTAAAATTGTCTGATTTTCGACAAAACTTGCCAGATTTTTTTCATTCATCATCATAGTTAGCCAGACTGTCCAATGTCTGGTAAAGATTCTAAAAAATTCCTCCTGTCTCTAAAGATTTCTCCATAACAACCTCCAATTTATCTTTGATCTCCAATTCTTTTCATTAATTGAAAGAAAAGTAGACTCCACTGAATCAACCCATCTCTTATTCACTCTAGCATTAGTTTATTTGGTTGTTTTTTGAATTGTTTATAGCTGAAAAGTTGAAAGTTATAATAATACGTTTTTAATTTATTCATTACCAAATTTTGAATTATATTTTTTTTAAAGGTAAACTAAATTTTTAGAATGCTTCTGGTGTAGTTCAGTTAAGAAGTTTTTTTTTTTACACTAGTCTATGGAAGTTTTAAAAAAATATTTTACATCCAAGAACTAATAGATATTTGATTAAGGTTTTAATATTTAATTGAATTGAAGCAAGTTTTGCTATTTAAAATTTCTAATTTTGTTATATTAATAGTAAAAAGTTTACATATTTGTTTTTCTTTTTTTCTTCCAGTATCTTGCTGGTGCTTTGTTCTATCCTTTTACTGTGGTTAGTCATGTTGTTATAGTCAACAATTGTGGGTAAGCATGCTTTGACTTCTTAAAAAAAAAATTTTTTTTTAAATAAAATTTTGCCACTATTTTTCATATGTGACTATTTGCTACATCTAAAGTTGAAATAGGAGTATATGTGCATGACTACCAAAAGTTTTATGTTTAAATTTTTTTCTTAAAGAAAAAGAATTATAAATAAAATTATAATATGTATTTTATAAAATTACTTATACATTAAAATTCAATTTATCATTGTTTTAGACTTCAGTTTAAGTTATGAGTCTGTGACATAATGTACCTGATAAATTAAAATAATTTTATTGAAGAACAGTTGATAGTATTTTAGTAAATATTTATTTCTTTTTAGTCAATTGCTTGTATGTTTGGAAATACACCTATGGCTTTAAAAAAGAAATGGCCAAGTGCAAAATATTTTGATTTTACTCTTAAATATTATATTAATCATGTGCCTGAAAATTCTTTTTCCTATGCCTAATATTAAAGCTTATGGATTATTTTATTAAAAGTTAGATGCAAAATATATTTTTATTTTCTTCAATTTAAGCGTGACAGCGGATACAATTTTGAAATTGTAAAATTCAGTTATATTTCTTGTGACATGAGTTTTTTGTGTTTTAGTTTGAAAGCTGGTATGCCTGGAAATATGCCAATATATTCCAACTGGTCAGATTGCTGGTCACATCTTAGTGCTATTGTAAGTTGTTTTATAAGCAGTGCTATTTTATGTAGTTCATTTTCTTAACGATTTTATGTCTACTAAATTATTATTTTAGTGAAAATTATTATTTTTATGCTGCTGACAGTTTTTTTATTCAGGGATGAGATTTTTCCGCTTTTTAGCGGATTTTCGCTTTTTTCACTTTTATCACTTGAATTTCAGCTTTTTTGTCAAAAATTCAGATTTTTCNCTGGTCACATCTTAGTGCTATTGTAAGTAGTGTCTTATTAAGCTGTGCTATTTTATGTTGTTCATTTTCTTAAGATTTGTTTGTATGATTTTTTGTCTACTAAATTATTATTTTAGTAAAAATTTATTATTTTTATGCTGCTGACATAATTTTTATTAGACTAATAAGTCATTTCAACAACCAACGAAAGCTGCTAATTTTTTGTTTCCTTCTTTTGGTATTTTTAGTTTCTTGTTTTGGTATAATCTTTTGGTATACATTATTAAAAAAAATTTTTTTTTTATTCTTTTTAAAATAGAAAAAACATCTGTCTTTATGCATAAATGTCCTAGTTTTCATTTTGCGCTGTACTAATTTCAATGTATTTAATAGTCTTATTGATTGTTTTTATACAACAAACAATTTTTTAATTTTCTTTAATTTGTTATTGCTTGCTTATGTGTTGTTGCAATTGTGGCTTATCGGCAATTAGAAACAAATTTTTTTTTAAAAATAATAATAAAAAAAACTATTGCAAGGATTTTTTTTTGTAAGGCTATATAACTTTGAAGAACATTTTTCTGAAGATTTTGTTTTTGTATAATTGTTTTATCTAGATATTGAATTATTTTCCTTACCTTACTATGCATCTGTTTTAAATTGCACTTTAAACTTAGTAGTAAAGAACTTTTCTTTATATTTTGTATGTATTACATTTTTTTTTAAAATTTCAATTAATGATGGATACTTAAATTGAAAAAAAAATATATATTTATATATAATTACTTAATATATATAGGTGTATACTTAATATATATAAACAGTGTTCTCCCTAAGCGTTTTTCGAAGGACGGCGCCCCCCTATCCCATCCCTCCTGCATCTCTATAAATGCTCCCTCTTTGCTCTTTTTCTAAAAATAAGTTGCCATCCCTTAAAAACACTGCCTTTTTATTCATATTCCAATTTTAAAAATAATAATAAATTACTTATTGTTTAAATAATAATTACACACTGATCATCTGTGTTTATTGGTTTAATTCTGATTATTATTACAAATATTAACTTTGTTAGGAGTATTCTTAACTGGTTTAATTTTTGAGTTTCTCTTTTTCTTAAGGGAGTATATTAATGAATTTTTTTTAAGTGATTTTAAATTCTAAAATTTTTTTAAATAAATAGCTTTCTGTTAAAAAAAAACACCTTTAAATGTTTATTTGTTTTTCATAATTTTCAGTTTAAATTATAGAAAAAAGCTTTCAAATTATTAGGTTTAATTAAAAAAAATTATTAGATTTATCAATTAAAAATTTTTTTTAGTTTGTTTGAAAAAAATTTGTGTTCAGAGATAGTCTTTTAACATGCCTTTAATTATTTTTATAAACTATAAATTTTTCTCTTGATTTGATAATGTGTGAGAACGACTTTTAAAAATATATGCATAAAATAATATAAGATTGTTAAGAATCAATTTCAGTTGTTACATAATATTATGCAATTTGATGAAATTTTACTATCTTAAGTGAGTTGTCCTTTTAAAACTCTTAAGTGCCCTTTTCTGTGAGAAGGAAGTGCCCTGCTCTTTTATTCACAGGAAGAGCTATGAATTAAATAATAAGGATTATATTTTCATCACCATTTTTTTTAAAAGGAAAATTTAGATTTTACTGTTATAATTGCTTTGTGGTGCAACTACTACTACGATTATTACACATCAATTCACCAGTATGTAAGACATGTTAACTCAATTCTATGTTAGGACCCTTTTCATAGATGAAGATTGACATTGTCGATAACACTAGTCCCACACTGATGACATCTGGACATGATCTAATCTTGTCTACTTCGATAGATGGTCCACATTAATTAGTTGATTTGCTATTTGTGACTGTATATTGTTCTCATCACGCTGTTGCGACTCAGTCACGATCACACAGCATTGACCTGTATGTACTCTACTGCTAATGGAAGCACAGAAGTGACCATGACAAACGCGGTGGTCTTAGTACAGCTCTCCCTGCTTTCACAAATGCGGCAACTAGTGGTATCAGTTCATTGAATTCCATCCCAGATAAAATTGTGGTGTAACTACCACTACGATTATTTAACATCAATTCACTAGTATATAAGACATGTTAATTTATTTCTAAGTAGAGGTATCTTTTCATAAATGAAGATTGACATTGTCCATAACACTTGTTCCACAACTTTTAAAACTGCTCTTTAGAAGTGAACTCTGATAATTATTATAAAGATTCAAATTTTTTAAATAAATTTTTCACTTTATAATAAATACTTTCTGTTATAGTTGCTAAAAACAGAGTTATTTATACCATTTGTAAACTAAATATGCAACTTGTTTGATATTTTAGGGTCAATTAAAGAGAGGATCGAGTATATTGTGGAGGTACCATACTGGACCTTTCATGACATCAGCTTATTCTGGATCTTCTGGAAGAAGAGTCCATGCTCAGGCATTCCCATACAGTGTGAAGTAATAAGGTAAACATTGTCTCTTTTTAAATTCTTGCCTATTGGTTTATTAAAATGCATTTGCTTTAATCTGTCACTATGTGGTATCTCAGGGGAAAGAGCACTTGCCTCCCAATGTCGTATCCCGGGTTTGAATCCCAGCGTTGGCTGGTAGATTCAAATTCCGCACCCGGCTTGCACTGACCACAGTGCTGACGTAAAATAACCTTAATGGTAGATGGACCATGGGTTAGAGTCCCCTTGCTGACGGGCTAACCGTGGAAGGTTTTCCTTTCCATGTAACACGAATGCAGGTTAGTTCCATTGAAAAGTCCTCCCTGAAGGCAAATTTCTCCCAAAATTTGATTCAGGAGTCTTATGAATTGGCTCAAAATTACAATGCTACGGAGCTGAACTTTGGTAGCCGTAAACCCGAAATTGGTTCAGTTGTTCAGCAATGTTTATAAAAACAAATAAAATCTGTCACATAAACTTTTTGTTTACTAATAGGGATTATGTAAAAGCTTTCAAATCTCAACCACAAAATCTAAATGTAGCATTAAAAGGATTGAACATAAAATAAAAAAATGTATTATTTTTTATTTTATTTAATCATAGTCAAGAAATTTTAAATTCTATGGTATGCAATTTTTTATCAAATCTTAAAGCATGCAATTTTACGTGGCTAAGTACAAAATTTGTGCAAAATCAATCGACTAGTTCCTGATTTTGAGAAGTCATATTTTTGTGAAGAAACTTTTCAATTCACTTGAAAAGTTAAAGATATGGTAAAGTATGCAAAAGTAAAACTAAAATTAAGGGGTCCAAACGTTGGACTGCTATCCTGACCAAACTTTAGGACCATATTTCCTGGAATTCCTCATATTTTAGGAGTCCAAAATCCGAATTTCTCAAAAAAAGTAATGTTTATTCTGAGAAAGTATACTTTTGTGTATGTTTTTGTTTTGTTCATAACTTAAAATATCGTCTGTACTAATTTATTGGAATATTTGTGATCATCCTCTCCAGTCATTAAGATTCAATTCTAGAATGTTAAGATTTGATCATTAGATCAAAAGTAATTCAGGGTTGTGCCTATATTTTTTTGAGCTCTGTGAGTCGCTGCACAATTAGAGTTCAAGTTTCAAAAAAATTATGTGCAGTAAGTATTTTTTTGTAAGCATGAATACATGATTTGTTATATTACCAAGTAAAACTTTTTTTCTTTACAATTTTACTTTGTAAAAGAAATCAATATTTTAAATATTTTTATTTTAACCACTAAGAGTTTATTAGTTTTGATGATTAAAATTATTTTTAATTCTGCTTTTGGATCTTTTTGAAAATTTTAATTTAAAAAATAAGAAAAATTTGTTCTTGTTTGCAGAATAACATAAATAAATTTTATTGTGAAACTGGTTAAAAGGGGCTAAAATTTGTTTTGGGTAAAAAATGCAACATATATCTAAGCCTCCATAACTATGCATTCTTACTTATGATAATTAGTTACAATTCAGATGGTAGGAATCAAAAATTTGACTCTGCTTATTGCAATTTTCAGTTAGATTTATGCATGAACAGTAAGCATCAGAATTACCTGAAATCTGAGAAAAGAAATATTCCTCAAGATCTCAGTTGTGCATGGCACTGCAACTTTAACTATTTTAAGTTAGTAAATCTAGAGCAAATTTTTCTCTCTTTAAATAAACATGCCATTTCTTAACAAATTCGATTTAATAAGGTAGGTTGCTCCTATTTGAAAATGTCCAAATTTTGAATTTAAACCCCTTATTGCATATTTTATCAATGATTAAAATTACTTATTCTTGTACAATCCATTCAAAAATTATTTTACTATATTATTTAAAAATAACTAAAATATTGAATATTTTGCATAAATGTCAGCTAATTAATTTTAAATGACAAAAAATGTTGAATAATCTAGGATTTTGTTATTTCAAATTACAGTTTAAAAAGATGTAAAAGTTTTCATTTGGTCTAATCATCTTTAAATAGTATATAAATATTATGTAATATTTATGTCAATCATATTTTAATAGGTCTTAAATGAATGTAAGAGCATTTTTTGACTGAAAATAAAATATATATAAACAATTTTTTTTAAGAAATATGATAAAATATTAAAAAAGTTAAGAAATCAATCTGGGAAATCTGTTCATTTTCCTAACTATTTGGCTCAAATTACCCCTTATATTTTGAGGGTAAAAAATTGAAATAGGTTTTTAAAAAAAGTCACGTTTGTTTGCAAATTTTCTTTTCTTAAGGTGAGTCAAGCATTTAGATTGCATCAAAATGCTTTAGTAACTGTTTTATAAATTATAGTTTAACTACTTAATCATTAGTTTAGCTACTTAATTAATACGAATCCTAACTAAAAGTTGGATTTAATAACTATTTTCACCAGTGTATAAGAATGCAGAATAATAAATGCTTGTGATTTGCAAAACAAAAATAATTAACTTATTTTGAGCATATAGATTTATAAAGTTATTATTTATTGAAAAGAATTCATTTATAGAGTGGTATCAGTTTATAACTTAAGAGCTATCTCATATTAACTGATGACATTTTACTTTCAGATCATTATTTTTAGAGTTTCAATTATGAGTCAACTTCATTGTTATAAATTGTTCTTGTGTAGAAAGTGATATTTGCTTGGATGTCCGAGATATTTTATGTTACAGTTAAACCTACATGTATGTAACTTTTATATTATTTAATAAACTGAAGTGAATAGTCATTGTATAAAGGAATAGAATATGACCAGTCTAATAAAACAATCAGAAATTACAGTGCTGTAAAAGGTAATTTGTGAGCAATAATATCAGACTGCTTTTTGTTATTATAATGTGTCCATTTTTAAATAATTTCAATGTCATACATTAAAATAGTTAATTTGTTTAAATTAATAAAATGAATTTTTATGAAATTATGTGCTTATAATTTATTTTTCTCGTAGATGGGAATTTAAGTATATTATAATTTTGTACAAGTCAAGATGCTTTATATCTTTCTGTGTTTTATGCTCATGGGATTAGAGTTTTTTACCAGGGGTTGCAAAGTGATTATTCTGTAAACGTCTACATTAAGAATCCTTATAAGAAAACCCTGCACATTAGAACAGGCAAATTAATATTTAAGTAAGAAAAGCTAACATATTCAAATAATTATTAAAAAGCAAAGAATGCATTCAAATAATTAAAAACCGGTTTATTCTTGATTGATTTCATTATAATTATCTATCTAGCTTAATCCTCAAATTAAGAACGACAAGTATTTTGAACCCCCGGTGGAAGAAATGAATGAAACATTTTTTTTTTTCGAATGGATGTGTTTAAATATTGTTGGAAATAATTGTGATTTTTTTAAAAAAAAAAAATGATAATTTTATTAATTTAAAAATTAGACTTTAAAAAACTCATTTATTTTTTTGATTATAATCTTATTTTTATTTGATATAATGCATTAATAATGTTTAATATTATAGCTAAAACAGTTAATATTTCTAATGTTTCAAAAGTTATTTAATTATTACAGACTAATCTCTGGAGAAAAAAAAAGTCGTTACTATTGTTCAAAATAAACATCCTAAAATATAAAGGCAATTTGTTGTGAGTTAGTTATCCAAGGAAAAGTAAATCAGTTTCAATCAGAATAACATTAAAGAAATAAAAGTTATTTTAAGTTATTGAAAGTTAGATTAAGTAAGGCAAAACAAGTTGCTTTTCATTATTGATATTAAATACATAGCTATTGTATTTTTTGTATAAGTTTTACAGGCGCTTATGTTGAACTAAACAAAACACTAAATGAGTATAATTGAAATAAATATGTTTCTTTGCAGCAAATTGTTTTATACAGAGCTAATGGGAAAATACAATTTAACAATTTCAAGCAGCTCTTATCTACTTTTAGTCTATTTTAAAATACAATAATTGTAAATTGATTTAAATTGTAATTTCAATCATTCAATCAAGCCAATTGCCAATTGTTTTAAACAGTTCATAATTGCAATCTNAATTGTTTTATACAGAGCTAATGGGAAAATACAATTTAACAATTTCAAGCAGCTCTTATCTACTTTTAGTCTATTTTAAAATACAATAATTGCAAATTGATTTAAATTGTAATTTCAATCATTTAACTCAAGTGATTTAAATCTTGCCAATTGTTTTAAACAGTTCATAATTGCAATCTTAATCTAGTTTTATTGTGTTTCTTTCCAAGTTATATACTTAGTAATGGGGATTTTAAAAACACAAAGAAAAATATGATGTAGAAAAAAAAATTTGACATTTGAGAAAAATCATTACTAATGTTTTTAAAAGAAAATATTTGTAATATAAATAAAATTTAAACCTGTTAATACAAATAATTCTGTGTACAAATAATAACTATACATTATTTTTTATAAACAAAATGTGCATTACATTAATTAAAATAAATTAAGTATAGTTAGATTTTTTAAAGTGTATTTATTTATTTAGGAAAATAAGGATAACATTTTATCGATTTCTAAAATTTGAAACAGTTATTAAGTGCTGTAAAAAGTAAATGACAAAAATTCTATTTTATTTGTTTAAATTTAAGCTATTCTTATCTAAATAATGATTTATAGTTTCATTCATTTCTTTCAGTTTTTCTAGTATTGTGGAAAAAAATAGGTATCTTTCAGAAGAAATTGTAACCCTGCCTCAAATTGATTAGCTCTTTATTAACCTGAGTTTGGAAGTTTTTTTTCACTTATTGCATAGTTACTTATAAACTCTGTTGTACATTGTTTACTGGCTTTTTTTATACCTAAGATTTTTAAAAATATATATTAAGGGCTTAATTGGTATATAAAATTTTTTTTAATAGCAATAAATTCCTGAAATTAATTTTATACATAATGCACACACATTAAAAATAAACTAAAGCTAATAATAAACATACTTACCTTTCAAAAAAGGATGATTTCAATTGTAAAACTAATTGCTGAAGTAAATTACTATTTATAATTTCTTAAAAAAAATTCCTAAAAATATTTCTGGTAAGATTTTTTTCAATATTGTATTCTAGAAAATAAGGAAAGAAATGTTATGAATCAATATATACATTATTTTTAATTAAATATAAGTCTACATCGAAACATTCATTGCTTTCTGAGCCACATTTTCACCTGTAAGCACATCAATGATGTCCATAAATGCAAAATATGTACATGAAATTCCACCTGCAATCCCAGTTACTATTATTTGAAGCAAAAAGATCTTCTCAAGGAAAGGCGTTCTGCTGAAATTAAAATAATAATTATATTTATATAAACAAAATAGTAAACAAAAAATCAATGTTTTTTAATTGATTTCATTTAGAATCTTTGTTTTAACTTAATCGAAATAGTTTCCTTTTGGAATTGTCTCATTTTAAGAATGATGAGTAAACATTTTGATTTGATGTATTTGCTATGAGGTAAATTTAAAGACTAGGCCTAATAGTAATACTAGGCCTTTAGAAATATCAACATAAGCAATAAAAAATTCAAAACTAATGTTTTCATACATTTGGCATGTATGATTACCTACATATTGAAAAATTATTTTTAAATCAGTTTTCTAAAATTAAATTTCAAGGTTGATAAGAATAGCAAGGGAAAGAAAATATTCATCCGGTCACTTTTCTGGAAATCTATGACAAAACACTTTCTGCAATTTTTTTCAATTATGCAACAAGAGTCGCTGTGGCTTGGGACAGAGTGTTCTCCTCTCAAGGAGGTGAATCAGGATTGAATTGCAGCAGTGAGAAGTTGATACGAATTCTGTTCCCGGAATGCAATAACCACGGTGCTAACGTAAATATATCCTCGGTGATAGACGAATCCCCTTGGCTTCAGGCTAACCGTAGAATGTTTTTTCAAGGGTTTCTTCTTCATGTAATGCACATTACAGGTTAGTTCCAGCAAAAAGTTCTCTTTGAAGGCTAGTTTGTCCCACTGCTTGATCCAGGAATTTTGGTGTCTTCTGGGTTGGGTTCTGTTCAAAATTATATAAGCTACGGCGTTGAAAAATGGTAGTTGTAAGCTCAAAATTAGGTAAGATGTTCAAGGCAGGTTATAAATTACAATAAAATTACATGACAAAATAGGTGGTGCTCATATGTTTCTTTATTAAAGTTTTATTTTCTTTGGATTAGGGAACACTTATAACACATTTTCTAAAAAAGCTTGCAAAGCTGAAATGATAAATACAGTCAAACCTAAATATTACACAATTGAAGGGAGACACTAAAAGTTTTGTGATATTGAAAATTCAGAAAAACAAAAATAAAATATTTCTTAACTATTCAGTCAAAACAATAATTGTACTTACATTTTAAAAGATTTGAATACTTCAAAAAAAATACTCATTTCAAACGATGTCAATATCTTTGCTTTTTCATTTGGTTTTCTGAAGTTTATCTGTTATGTTTATCGGTTATCTTTTCTAATATGTCTCTAGATGGCTTAGTCCCTTTTAACATTTCTGATACTTCCCAGTCTCCACATACTGAAACATTGTCTACAATAACCACTTCTTCATAAATATAAGTTTCTTTTGCAATCATTCATAAAATTAGCTAGCTATTTCTTATTTTATTAGCAAATTTTGAGTTTTACGTATCAACTCTTTAAGGAATAGATAATACAGTGAATTTCTTTTCAGACATGATACTCTCTTATCAGGGTTCTAAGAAATGATTCATAGAATTGTTTGAGAAAGTTTTTAAAAATTGAAAATAAACTGTTTAAATTCTTTAAAATTTAGAAGAAATTCTGATCAGAAATATTTCTTGAAATTGAAGGTCACTTAGAGTTACAAGGAGAAATATATTAGGTTCAAAAAGTTTTGATTTTAGCGACATAGCAAAGGTGTAGGGAATTCAGATTTTTTTGTAATATCCAAAAATTCGTAATTAGGTTAATGATATTGAGGTTCAACTGTATATGTTTGTTCAAATATTATAAAACAATATAGTATAGGTTTTGTACATTATAACACTTTTATATTATTGTACAATATGGCAAATTCAAATCGAAGAACGCATATAACTGATTATGTTCAGATCTTTACCTGTGATAGCTGAGTTTGACTTCATCTTTGTTTAGCAAATAATAAAATAGAGGAGGAAAGATGAAAGTTAAGAGGGTCATGGTTGAACCTCCAATCAAATTGAGAACTTTGTCAAAATGAGGAATTGTGTAAGCAATAATTAAAATAAGGCACATAATGGTACTTCTAATGAAACATCGTTTGTAGTTGAAGTCTGAAATAGTAATGAGGAAAATCATTTCATGAATAAACATTTAAAGTGTAAATTTAAATACAGAGTTATCATTAAAAGCATCGAATGTTTTCAGTAATAACTAAATCAAATGCAACCATGTTTGGATTTGATTTGTTCTCAACTTTGATTAAGTTGCCTTGAATGTAGGTTTTGTATTTCTCACATTTGAAAATCCTAAGTTATACTTCTAAATAATTTTATTTGGAATATCTAAAATTGTGAAAATTTACTATTGCAATGGTAGATTCTGTCCTAAATTCAATCATTAAAGTTAATGTTTATTATTATACTTTTAGAACGTACTATTTATAACGTTTACTATTATAACGTACATTTCACCTAATGTTTTCATTAATAACTGAATCAAATGCTATCAGATTTGGTTGAAACATTTGTCTTCATCTATGATTAAGTTGGCAAGTGCCTTGAATGTAGGTTTTGTATTTCCTACAATTGAAAATCCAAAGCTATACTTCGAAATAATTTTATTTGAAATATCTGAAATTGCGAAAATTTCTGTCGAAATATAGTAGACTCTATTCAAAATTATTTTTATTATATGTTTAAAAGTATCTCTCGAGTATGCTCCATGCAATAGTGGAATGTAGAGAATATTATACATTTTAAATTGTTTTCAAACAAGACTAATTTAATCTATATACCTGGTAATAAACTTGGTACAAAAATTGCAAGGAAGTTGTCACACATAAAATCACTGGATTTATTGTTTCCTTTTAAAATATGCAAATAAACCCCATGCTAAAAACTACTGTTTTTCAATAAGAATCATACATACATTTTTTTTTCAAATAAAATATATTGTATGAATAATTACAAATTAAAGATATTTAGTAGCTACCTGACAAAAAAAATTGTTAAAGTACATTTTAATTTTCACAATTTTGGAACATTAAATGACGTTTAGAGTAAGTATTATCGATATTATCAATGAATTATTCTTGCATTTCTCCAAATTGTTAGGTAAATATGGTAACTATTTACTTAAACCATAATATACAAAATTAAACTTCTTTACGAGGAAAAAAATGCTACATGGGAATTATTACTTTTGTCGCAGTTATTTATAATGATCGAAACTGGCTCTTTATAAAGGGTGTTCTATAATCTCAGCCCTAAATATATGTAAATTTAGAATTTATCTCAAAACTCTGACGGGGGAAAAAAGAACAGTATGCATGTTAGGTGTAGCATCTTTAACTTAACCTGACAAAATTTTAAAAAAATTTCTTCATCATTTAAGAATAACATTTTTCTACAACTTTCATCGAGCAATCTATTTTTGATAGTTTATTAGTAATTTTCGAAATTTTGATCGATTTTTTATCTTGGTTTTGACAAGCATTTTGATGTTTCATAATAATGGTGTTGATTATAGAATGCTCTGTTTAATTGTACACTTGGGAAATACAATATATCATTCTTCTTTAGTTTCATTAAAAGTAAAACACTCCTAGCACAAGTTATTATATTTCAATTGCTGTATTGTATATTTTTAAGCCATTTAAAAAGTTACACGGTTTGTCAACTGATAGTGGTGCTGACTGAAAATATAATTTTTTTTTTTTCTTTGCATGTCTGAACGTTTTTATCTCTAAATGTTTTTTCTGAATCTACATCATGTTGCTGCAAATCGAAGTCATCGTTAAAATATGATTTTACAGTTATTTTCAATTAACTGTGCTATTGGTGATCGAAATGGGCTATTGGTGCCGTACAGCAGAACCCTCTACCTATGGCAACACTTCCCATGCTTTCACCATTAGCATGTGGAGCGTCGTAAAAGAAGGAAGTACGTCAGTTTCTGTCTAGATTTTCGAATAGATTAAAAACTTTTAAGTTGGGACACTATAAGGAATTAAAACTACATTGAATATAGTTCTAGAAAAATGAAAAAAAAAACGTCTTTGGAATTTTAAAAAATACTTTCACAATTAAATGCGAAAATATCGTAGTACATTCCTATACAACTGAATAGAGGAGAGGGTCTTCTCCCCAGATGGCGTATTCGAGCGTTGCTATCGCAACTTTGTTGACGGACGTAGTGACTAATTTTGAAACTTTGTTAGTACAAAATATATCCTATGCATAAAGTAGGAACCAGTGCATTTCTAATTTTTCCTTTTTTTTTTAAAAATTGACATTTCAAATCATCGGTTATTTTTAAAAGACAGATTTTGTAGCCTATTTGGAAAAAAACTTTTTCTACAAAATATTCAATAATTAAGATGATGTTACCTGATGCGACCGCCAGAAGATCTTCAATTTCTTGTGCCACCGGATTGACCACTAACAGAAAAGCTAAAAGTATGTGAACAGCTAGGCAAACTTCGATGGATGATCTTAGATACCCTTCTTGTATAGAGAGAAGGATGTTAGGTGAAACAGTAGATCCAAAAACGAGATATCCTGTTATGGTTACCGGTAAATAGAAGATTAAAAGTCCTGTGAAGAAATGAAATATTATTATATGCTAGGTGTTCTCTAATATCCACTTATAATATACATTTTTAGAATTCTTATTGGATATAAGTAAAAGCTATACTAGTCGCAAATCAATATGAACCGTGATGCTCAGTTGTTAAGGCACTGACTGAACTGTCAACGTGAAGAACTGGGGTTCAATCCCCAGTAGTAGTTTGAACCTCACTTCTTTTGATCGATGGGTGCCAGTAAGTCTAGGAAGTAAAGGTGGCTCGTGAGCAATATTGACCACATTGCTATAATCAAGCCATTGGTCACGAAGTTGTGCAGATTTTAACCTCCATGATTTCCCTGGCTCACTGCGGGCTTTTGCAGTAATCCTTTTTTTAGATCAATATCGATTACTGGAGGAAACAAAAGCGTTATCAAAATCTGACAAATCGCAATCGAAAAGTCCTTCATAAGGGCTAGTTTATCCCTATGCTTGATCCAGGAGTTCCGCTGTCTTCTGGGTTGGGTTCAATATTATAAGGCTACAAATTTGGACATTAATAGTCAACTTAAAAGTGGCGTACCTGTTCTACACCGGTTATAAAATAAAATCAAGGAAGGCAGGCGGAATTAATTACATCGAAATCAGTTTGATTTTATTTTGTAACCATCGTTGAACAGTCGTCCCAATTTTTTGGGTTCACGACTACTTATGTTCAATTTCGTAGCCTTGTAATTTTGAACCCAATCCAGAAGACAAGGGAACTCCTGGATCAAGTATTGGGAGAAATTTGCCTTCGTGAAGGACTTTTTAATGGAACTATCCCGGATTTACGTCACATGAAGAGGAAAATCTCCGGCACTTAGCACGACGGCAAGGCTCATAATCCGTCTACCACTGAGGATATAAAAATTACACCACCCACGCACCTCTTACATTTTTTGGTACTATTCAGTAGTATATGTTTTCAGCGAAATATATACCTTTTATGTTCAGTGTTCATTATAGGTTCAAGTTTTGGCGGTCAAACTGAGAAGCCTAAGAAAAGAAAAAAGAGCCCTATTGTAATGAAACCTTCGGGAAAGACGTCTTTTATTTGTAATTGATGGAATTTTTTCCATCGACATTTCATTGAAGAAAACCTTTAGGGGAGACCATCAAAACCTCTCTCAGCGACCCTTCGCACCCAAAGCCGAAATGGTTAATTAAGGAAGCACGAAAAAATATCAAACAAAATATGTTAACAAAACAAATAAATTGAAATGTATTCGAAATATTTGCGCGAGGCTTTTATTCAGAGAGCTCTTTTTGTCGATCTCTAAAAGAGACATGCAACCTCATGTTGTAGATTGCACTAAAGAAGATGATCAATGATTTATTTTTAGAGTTGTAAGTTAAATTAGAAAAAAAACTAAGTTCGCGTGCAGGTCGTCGGGCTACCGAAGCGAGGGTGCCATCCCCTCCGCAAAAGATCAAAAATGTGATGGCATGTCTTCGGATCATCCCGAGTGATGTTTCCCAGACCGTTGCCAATAGCCTGTTGTGCAGCTCTAGTGCGACGTAAATTAACAACAACAAGAAAAAACTAATTTGGAGTTAGATAGCTATAAATTTCTGAAAATTCTGGTAAACAAAGCTAGACTGTGTCAATAAGTGAAAAAAATAAGTTAAGTCTTGAAATTATTTTAGAGTGGTACCCATGCTGTAAAACGAAAGCTTTTATGACAGTTTCCCCGTTCGATATCTAAATGACCCGTTATCAATATCTAAACTGGTTATCAATAAAGATGGCGATATCGTATTAGATAATTAGATTCTTTTTAAGAAATAATATTAAAAACACACTATAAAATATCGACACTATATTAAAAAAATATTTTAAGACACATTGATATAAAGCTCAGCTATAAAAAAAGATAAATATACTATATAAAAAAATGAGTACCTATAGTTTACGATATTGGAACTCGAAACCCATAGGTAAAGAAGTTCTGTTTTATAGGAAAGATTCTTACCTGCGAATCCTAAAAGGGTCGCTTGGTTGAATTGTTGTCTGTTTGACATATCGTTTTGAATATTGGGGAAAAAGAAAACACCTCCAAATGCAAATAATATCGTCCCAAAGGACAGAGAGAGGGATGGGAAGGTGGGTTGTTTATAAACTACTGCATGAAGATGAGATCTTTCTAGAAGAGTTCCAGCAAACAACATGAAGCAAGCTAAAGCCGCCGTAACCATAGCTCCAATGGCAGCAAACCTGTAATATATGTGGGAAATACTGATCACCGTCTTTTTGTGAAAAATATTAAACATTGGAAACTTAAAAGGAAAAAAAAAAGACGCAACATTGGGATTTAATGTAAATATGAAGTATTGTTTCTGTCATTGTATCTAATATTTTGACAAAAAGTTTTTTCACACAGGAGATAAGCGTTGATTCGTCAGTACATTAAAGATTTCTGTTACTAAGAATTTCTAATTTAAAACAAGTAATCTTTTCTGTAAATAAAGGGTGTCTAAAGTTTTAAGCAAGAGTTAAATACGCAAGATTTAAATTTTGCTCCATTTATGCAATCAATTTTTTTGTTGTTGTCCAAATGTCCACCTGGGGAATGACCTTTCGTCATACAGGCATCTGAAGGGTAGATTTGTTGGCCACTCTTTCTGGGGCACCCTATTATGTGGGCCAACGTTGCTGCCACAGTAAGGACAGATAGTATAGAGAATGAAAGAACTTCTATGCCTCTCCCGGGATTCGAATCCAGAACCTTTCTGATGCAATGCCAGCTCCGTGACCCCTACACAGGCCGGTCGGCATGTAATAAAATGTCTGAAACTGAAAAATAGAGTTGTTGTAGTTGTAGTTCATTCACGTCGCGCTAGAGCTGCACAATGGGCCATTGGCGACTGTCTGGGAAGCATCCCTGAGGATGACCCGAAGACTAGCCATCACAATTTCGATCCTCTGCAGAGGGGATGGCTCCCGCCGCTTCGGTAGCCCGACGACCTGCACGCGATGTCGCGCACTTTACGGTAGAACAGTTTAACGAGGACCAATACCGCAAACCCTCGGTCCCTATGCAGACTGATCCAAGCAGCCAGTGATGCTTGACTTCTGTGATCTGCAGGGAACCATTGAAAAATAGAGAGCTGATTATTTGTATGATTATTAAGCATATGAGAGCTACAAGAAAGAACTATGCATGAGCGATGGTGAATCATTCCCTGGTTGTGTAATACTCTGCTTTGATGATCAGTACTGATATCATACTGTAGTGTATATACCACTACAAAAAATACAATCCCGTTAGAAAGTTTACTTCCGGTTAGACTGAAAACTTCCGGTTTATTAAATAAAATAGTGAAAATAATAAATATTTAATAAAAGTTATTTTCAGCATGGATTTTATTTGGATAAACGAATTTTATAATTGTGTGCGAATAACAGTTTGCTTAAACATTTCTGGAGACATGGCGAAATACGCAAAAAGTAATATTAGCATGAAAGATTCCGAACTTTGGATCGCTTTCTTCTAGGGGGACCATATTTTGACTACCCCTTATATTTTAGGGTAAAATTTCTGAACGAAAGAAACATGATTTTGAAATATGATTTTAACGAAAGAAGCATAATTTTTGACAACTCGTGTTTTATAACGTTTCTCGTCAGTGTTTTGAGACTTGCCATCCATCAGTGATGGGCCAAACAGCACGTCTTCCACTAGATCATATATTTCGTGGGTGTGCATTGCTTCATTCTCGGGAAGCAGATTTGACTTCTTTGCTGGAGGAAGAAGCTTGGTGATCTCAGCATGCAAAGCGACGCGCGTCGCTCCTTTTGCGAAACTCGAACGTCGTGTTGCGAATTCGAATGCCCATAACAACCATGATGTTGGCAATCCCCATGAAACCGTCATTGAAAGTCACCGTAGCCAAATAATTAGAAATTTTGGAGAGAAAACATTCTTTTAAGTGGATTTAGCGATTTTTTTTACTATTCCCGCCAACACATCTTTCCAGAAAATTGCCTTTTGTCAGGTCTTCGCATGGAGGCCTGATTGTCTCCTGAGCTGTTTGCGAACCCTTGGTGACGTGAAACAGCCGGATCGATGATCATGTTTTTCAACAATATCAAATAGTTTGCCCTCAAATAATCCTAAGTATACGGTTTCGAATTATCAATCTTAACATTTCTGAATAGGTGTATCGCAATAGTTCTTTGATTGAAAACAATTCGCTCATGGGCTGCAATAGTGGCACAACTCAAAAAATCATGTTTTGAAATAAGTGGGTTTAAACTTTTCATTGCTAATGGAAATGCACAGAAAATGCTTTAGTTTGCTTAAACGAATATTACCTTCAAGTTGAATTATAGCTGCTGAAAAGAATTTTTAATTTTCATATTTACACCTGTTCTTTGTCCAAAACGCGTACTTTTTGAGTTGTGCCACTATTGCAGCCCATGAGCGAATTAACCACTTGTCTCGTCTATTTTTTTTTTATCAAGGAGCTTCTAGGCGAGGAAAAGAACATGACATGACAATATAAAACATAAGAACAGACATGAGTCACGGTGTAGAATGTGGAAAATCATAACTTACCAAAATTCTTCAAATCTCCCAAACCAAGTGAGAGGGCAGAGGCAGATACACAGAATCACAATCCACGTGTCGTAAGTTAATGGATAAATTTGGTCAGTCATCGACTGAACTATTTGTGCGCAGAGTAGAATGTAGACGACACCCACACCTATTAAAGTGACATGTAGTGTAGCTGTTACAAAATACCTGCAAAGTAAACATTATCTGTTAAGTTCTGTATTTTGTTTTTAAATCAGTGGGGGCGATCTGGAATCCTTCCGCGAAATGGTACTCGAAAGAATTCGAAAACGTACTCAAGTCAGTAAATGGGTATATTTTTTGGGCTTAATGGTTCGTTAGAAGCTATCCCAGCGAATTTTAAAATTTTATAAACTTAAATTCATAGTAATTTTCCATAATATAATATTTAAGTTATCAGCATAGCGGATATTCTAAAAAAGACTGATCGTTTGAAAATAAAGTAACAACAAAAGTGGAGGAGACAGAAGTGTATGGTTATTTTGTTTAGAAACTAAGTTATTTTTCCTGGCCAAGCATAGAAAAAGTTACAACGTTCGTCAACAGATGGGGCTGTTGACGGGAAAAAATATACAATGTTTTTGCTGCACGTCAGACCAATCCAAATAAAATATCAGAGTACGAGCTGTTCAAAATGGCGAACCTCGAGACCCATCAGATTAAGAAGATAAAATTAGTTTAAAAAAATTAAAAAATAGTTAGAGTTTAAAAATATATTAAAAAATAGTTAATAAAAAATAGTTAAAAAAATTAAATGCAAACGATTAAATGTTAAAAAATTTTTCTAGAAAAGAAATATCGAAACACTTTTATTTATTTTGATTTTCAATCTGATGGGTATCGTCCATTTTAAACAGTTTGTATCTTTTTTTTAATTTTCTTGGTGACAGCGCCATCTGTGAAGCAAAATAATTCAAATAGGGTTATTTTTTTTCAGAAGAATCCGGATCTGCAGTAAAAAAATAGGTGTTAAGATTTCAAAGTTTGCTCCCGCCCAACATCTGGTGGGGGTGGGTAAAATATCGAGTTTGGTATTATTGGAAATCTTTTAAAGAATATTGAATATGATCTGCTTCACGTTTTCAAACCAATGATATTTGATTGCTTCAAAAATTTTTACACCCTGGGTAGTTACCTTTATTATTCTATAATATGATATGGTGTGCTTTTTGATAGAGAGGTTTTATATAAAATAAATATTATAGATTCAATAATATTTTTTTTAAAACCCGCTATCACGTGACTAAATGTTCCCTCTTTCTGAAACTAGAACTCTGAAATTAATTGCGTTTGGGAGTAAGTCTATAATATATACAGTTAAAAAAATTGATGTAGATATACTTTGTTATAACACCGAAGTATTAGAAACAAATTGCTCATCGTTTAACATTTGCAGTATCTTTATATTGTTTCAAACTCTTTAATTGAATTAAGGAACGCAGCAACATTCATAAGATAAAGAAATATATGCTATAACAAATTTTTGTTACCCGAAGTTCGAGAAAATAATTTACAGAGACACTTTTAAATTGCAAATAAGGCATTTCCTTCTAGGCTTTAAGTTAAATGTCACCCGAAAGTCGTATTAATATAGTTAAAATGGACAATTTGCTTGGGAAAGGTATTTAAATTCATTAAGCATTCTCCTAAAATCGCTGTTGCATAAATTCTATTTTAATTATGTATGTCTTGGTAATAACTTTCATTTAAGTGACATGTTATAACTATGCGCGATTAAAAATGTTTTCGACTAAATTGTAATTGATATCTTCATTGAATCAAATCTTCTGTCTCTTAACTGTATAATTTTTATTAATTTACTATGACGAAGACAATGAATATTTAAAACTATTATTGAGTTTTCCGAATAAAATTGTAACTGCACTCCTTTGATTAACTAATGAAAGTTTTCTGACTGAGCAGTGATGGCTAAGGAGAAAGAGCATTCGCCTTCCAATGAGGTAAACCGGGTTCGAATCCCAGCGATGGCTTGTCGATACGAATTACGCTGGCCGACCACAGTACTTACGTAAAATATTCTCAGCGGTAGACGGATTAGGGTTAGAGTCCCCTGCCGTCAGACTAACCGTGGGAGGTTTTCGTGGTTTTCCACTCCATGTAAGGCAAAGGCGGATTTTTTCAATTATAAAGTTCTCCACGAAGGCAAATTTCTCCCAATACTTGATCCAGGAGTTCCCTCGTCTTCTGGATTGGGTTCAAAATTACAAGGTCTCGGAGTGGAACATAAGTAGCTGTAAACCCAAAAAATTGGGTCCCGCAGTGGACTAATCGTTAAGACACGGTTCCCAGTAGATCAAAGTCAAGCATCAGCGGTCAGTGTGCGGGTGGGTGACCACTTCAATTAGTCTGCGTAGGGACCGAGGGTGTGCGGTATTGGTTCTCGTTAAACTGTTCTACCGTAAAGTGCTCGACTTCGCGTTCAGGTCGTCGGGCTACCGAAGCGGGGGTGCCACCCCTTCTGCAGAGGATCAAAATTGCGATGGCAAAATTTAAAACAGCCAAAACGTTAAGTTTGGGGTCTTTGTGTTCGAAAGATAGTATGCTTTCGCCAACGCACTTTACAGAGACAAGGGTTCGATTCCCCCCATGACCCTGAATGTATCTTTGCAATGTCCTTCTAGATATGCAGCTATTTGTTTATTTATTTATTTGTACAACATACATATGCATGCTTTTGTACTCAATTAAAGCTTATAAGCCTTTGTCAAGTAGAAAGAAAGATAGTACTATGAAAGAAGGACAACACGAAGATACATTCACATCCGAAGATTTCGCAGCTACACGTCTTTAATTTGATATGGTGTTGACATTGTATTGTATGTTATTAGCATTGTTATTGATCGGACAAGATTGCAGATTCATGTGAGGATAAATGACATAATAATAAAATTACCTCACAGAAGTTTAACCGAAAATCTTGCCTAAGCCTTTGAAATCGATGTAAGGGAAAAAAATAGAAATGTAAGGTCCTCATACTCGTTTAATATTACCTCATACAGGGTCCAGCAGCCCTTAGACCCATTGCTGGATATGGATATCGAAACTTTCCTCTGTACTCTTCCCATTTCTCTTCCAGCATTATCCATGTTCTACCCAAGAGAATTGCACTGTACCAACTGTTGATGCAAGCAAGGGCAATGAGGGGAAGACCAAACCATCCTTAAAAAAAAATTAAGCACAAGAATATTAACAAGTAAATTAAAAATAGAGAGATTTAGCAGATTCACACAACACCTTAATGAGCGCATTTTTTATGTAAGCTGTGTTGGAAACCCGTGACTGTCATGTAGAAATTTAACTGTGCTTAGCATACGTGTGTGAAAGTGCTAAATCACTCCAATGTGATTGCGTACAAAAAAAAATCTTGACGCAAAAAATCTTTATGATAATAAATATATTCTTTACGTGTACACTTATCATATATCATAAAATTGGCAAATAGTTTGTCTTATATATGATTGTTCACAATCAATGAAAGAAAAGTAATATGCATCTCATTTCTGATTGCCTGGAATAAGAAATTTCGTAGATGAAAAGTTAAACTCATTCCTGGGTATAAAAAAAAACTACTTAAAATTTTCTGCAATCTCTTTAAAATGTGTATGTTCCACATGACTTCATGCTTGTCTTTGTTTTGAGTAAGAAAATCTATAGTGAAATAATTGAAATCTTCATGAAAAAAATCTTTGCGAAAGAATATAGAATATGTCACCTAAGAGAATTGATACTTGACAGGCTTAGCTTACTCGAAATAGAATGGAAAGAACAGTTGCTAACGTAAACAAACGCAGCGTTTCAACAGCCAATCGGGATCGAGTTAACCACACTATATCACTTGCAGGTATTTCATTGATTTATACACTTTAACGGTAACATATTCACCTGATGACATTACTAATTTTACCTAATTCCCATAATAATATTTTTGTTCTAAACAATAAACACATATCTTTACTTTAATGACATTTTAAAGATGCATGCCATTGCAAATAAAATTTAGCAGAAGTCTTTTAGAAGAGATGAAAGGGCAAAGCGTCAGATGAGATAAGAATCGATTTCTACATTTTTCGATTTCCAACCTGTTTAATTGTCAATGACTCGAGCTCCCACCTGATGATTACGTAAATGTCTGTTACTCTGATGTTCCTTGATCATGACCTTGTCTGATCTAAATTGCTTTGTAATGCATAAAATCATTTACTTCTATTATATTTTAGGTCTAAAAGGATTAAAAGAAGTAAAGTGTTCTGAGAACATTTATTTTAGCCTAATAACGTTTGACATTATATATTTCAATGTAGAGAAATGTACTTTCTTGAAAATGCTTCAAATGCAATTATATTTTTACTGAGTGAATAGATTTTTCTGTTAGCAATTTGGTGAATAAAAATAGTCCTAACCTCCTTTCATCAGGACCGACGAACGATTTTCTTGTTAATAATATAATACAGGGCTCGCGCTAAGCATTCGTTACCTCGCCAAATGCTATGGAATCGTAAATTTGGCGAATAAGCTTTTCAACTGGAAAGAAATTAAAATTACCTTAAAATGAATTTTTATAAACAAATCAGTATTTTTTTTTCGATTATAGTAATTTTTAGTAGATGAGCCGCGTAACCAATTAGAATTGGGTCCAAATAATATACGCCTGAAATAAACAAATAGTTTTCTAAGGGAAAACAATTTTTCATAAAAATTGTTGAGATTTGCATTTGGCAAAGACTTTCGAAAATTGGCGAATACTTTTGATATTTGGCTAATTTACTGGCTAATAATTAGAAATCCTTAGAGCTGGCCCTGTATAATGCATATTTTGTTTTCCGGAAATGCAACTAAAATCCATTAAATTATTTAAAATTCTGAAAATTCACGAAAAATCTTAAGAATTTTTTTTTTCTGAGAAAAAAATATAGAGAACTAGCTGAATACCCGTTCTTCATCGTTCGGGAATAATAAAAAAATAAGTAAAGAAATCAATAAATCAGTATTATAAACACTAAGAAATCATGCTCAAAACTGAAAACCATACACCTACACAATTAGATAGCTTGATGGAAGAACCAGGTAAGTGAAATTTTTAGGGGAATTAATGACTCACAGAAAAAAGTGTTTGCATCAATATGGGAATGTTTAACGTAACAGAACTGTTTTTGCTTTCACTTAAATCTTGAACATAAATAATCACATAAATTTTAAGTATGATTGCATGAATTTTTATTTCTAATTAGACAGTGGCAAATAAAATAAAGCAAAGAATTATTAATCTCGCCTTCTAATAAATTGGTAACTAAACAGTTCGGATTTAACGTTTTTTCGTTCTTAAAATGTCACTTACCTGGTTCTTTCATTAAGTTTTTAAATTAATACAGCTAAAATAATTTAAAAAAATTTGTATTTAATATTATTTATTGCCCTCTTCCATGGCTCTACGTTATTTATGTAAGCAAAAACCGGTTGTCCCTTATATTTTGTAAGACAAAAATCCGAATCCTTTAAAAAAAGAAAAAAAAAGAAGGTGCTTATTTAAAGAAAGTACGTTTTTGTGCCTGATTTCGTAACTTAAAAAAATCGTGTGCACTATTTAATTAACGTATCTGAGGTCACCCCTTCGAACTACTAAGACTGAGTGGTTAAGAACGTCTGAATTTTTAGACTTATAGTGATGTGAAACTTGCAATAATTTAGAAAGTGACAATTCGTCTACCTGAAAAGGCAGTGAATATTTTCTTCTGCTAACTACCACTTTGCATATTTTTATTCTATTTTTCAATAAAGCAGAACAATTTCGAATCTATTACCATTAAATGGAATGTCTTAATGTATTTTGAAAATTGATAAAAACTGGCAACTCAATTATTTCATCGTTAGAATTTATTTTAAAGCAGATATTCCTGCTTACAAGAATATATTCATAACACAAGCATCTATATTGTAAGAAGAAATTATTAGTGTGCTATGCTTTTTCTTAACTAAAGTGGTAGGCAACACTCGGAAAAAAAAATCAACTTAGCTTATGTGCAACCACTGTTTCCATAGACATTTTCACGTCACTAAAAAATGTAGCGTGTTTGCAATGTTGAGTGTAATGGGTTTTATTAAAATAAATGTTAATAAATAATCTATGCTACTACCTTTATTTAACTGTTAGGAAAAGAAAATATTTCATCAAATGATGACGTTGAGCGCTGACGTTAAACCAAACATTTTCATCTAACATAATATATTTACAGAGCTGCCAACCCAGAAGTTGTAGCTATCCACAAAGTTTATTCCAGTTAAAAAATTAACAGGGGAATATTTTTAAAAATTTTGGTATGCTTAACATCACAACATGGTTATCAAGTTTTTAAAACAGGATGCTCCGTAACCAACTCCCTAATATATTTTTGAATTCTGCACAAAAATGAAATTAAAAAAAAGTCACAGGTCGTTAGGGGTCACAAAATAATATTTGAGTGCTAGGAAAAACGCTAACGCTTTCATAATATGATGCATTACTTTTGAGGAAATCTTCATTAACCCTTTACGGAACAGCGAAATTCGATTTAAAATTTTAATCAGGCAGAACCAGTGGTTGGAAATACCGCACTATAAGCATTTAAACTACAGTAGTAGTCGCTACTTTTTTCGTAGTTTGTAGTGTAGCATGCTACTTTTTTTACGAATTAAAATAATCAGAATTAATTAAAATAATTAGAAATTATTTTAATTAAATTAATTAATATAAAAAACTTTCTTTTAAAAAAAAGTTTGCTTAAAAAAAAATTTTTTTTTTACACAGCTGCAGAATTTGGATGTTAATGGGTCAAAAATTGAATGAGTTATCATTTCTTCATAGTTTAAAATTGATATTTAAAGAAATTTGAAACTTACCGGCACCAGCAAGAGCGTAAGGTAAGGCCAGCACCCCCATGCCGGCCATCAATGAAACAATATAAATAGATGCTGTCCATACAGAATATCCTCTATTCACAACAGGGATATTAAATAAATTTCCTAATACGTGATCCGAGTCTTCTTCGCTTGAAGATGTCATTTCACAATTTTGAAATGTTTGGTATTTCATTTTTATAGTATCCAGTTTCAATGTTGAAAATATGAAGAAATGTACGACGAAGAAATTAAAGAACAGAGATTCGATGCTTATTTATTTTAGAACTGAGTTCACTACCTTCGCTAGTTTCTGAGAAAAAAATATGGATTTCATTCAATGACTTCACTTTTAAAAAAAATATGAGCAGTAGTTTCTCTCGTTTCTGAGTTAAAATCGAGATTCAATGCAAGCGCTTTACTATTTAAAAAACACAAATTTCATACGTTTCTGATTTAAAACCGAGATTCGATGCCAGCACTTAACTAATATTTCAAAATTAAGTGCACTAATTTTTCTTCTTTCTGATAAAAGACGTTCAATTAGAAGGTAAATTTCTCCTATTTCATGAAAATTCTGAGAAATTCACAATATCAAATAGAATGCAATGAAAAATATTTATAACTACTTTCAATCACAGGACTGAAATCAAAATTAATACAGCTGAGTAAAAAAATCATTTATCTGTCTTTTCCACAGAGTTTTCAGCATTAAAAAAGAAAATATTTAATTACGATTACATTCGAATCAAAGTTTATAGTAATACAATTAAGTGAAATTTAGTTATAATTAATTTTTACTCGAAGTAATCTAATTTAACAAATATTTGTGTTGCTATTACTTCATAATTTAAAGAAATTCAAAGTAACCAATTCATTAAATATTAATTATAATTACTTTTTGGTTCAAAATAATCAAGCTCACCAAAAAAGTTAATTAGCGATTTCTTCCTAATTCAAAGAGGTTCGCAGTAATCACTTCAGTAAAAGCAAATTATATTTACTTTCTTTAATCCAGAAACGTTCATAGTAATCCAATTGTTTGAAATCTCACACTTCTATCACGTATTACTGCATAAAAATCCATATGCAACAAATTAAAATCTAAAATATATTATTTCACAGAATTGCTGAGTATAACGATACAAATATTGAATTTGTATTGAAACAAAGAATTCCAAATATCGAATCTTGTTCCTCGTTAAAAAAAAACAATGCAGGTCGCAACAATGTTTCAATTCCAGAACATTTAGTGAATTCTCAGAAAATATAATTTATTCCGCTCAGCTCAATGAATCGAAATATAAATCATCCGAAAAGTAGTGATATTTGAATTCAATTAGAAGGATTTATTTTCACAAAAGAAACTACTTCAAGCACATTTCTTTGTGTGGTAAAATGTTTACCATCAAAGTAGCTAGGAAATTTAAATAGCTGCATTAGCGTTCTTGCTGTCAACTGCATACGTTTTGATTTTGTGTTCTGTCGTTTCGAGGGTACAGGTGTTTTAAATGTTTGTTCAGTACCTGTTACAAAAGGCAGATGTATTGCCAGATCCTTCTATATTAATAATCGTCTGCGGGAGAATTCGATTGGAGCGAAATGGTGGGTTTGAGATAAAAAAAAATCAGTGCTCTCAAAATTCTTTTTATTTTTGCCGAATAGAATAAACAAGTGTTGCGATCAGAATATCATTCGTAGATAAAAATATGAGTGTGAAGTTATCAAATCGTATTTCAGTAAATAAGTTTTGCGTAACGGATTGCCTCATTGTATATGTAGCCAATTTAATAAGAACGATTTTATAAAATGCATTTAAAACCGCTTTATCATTTGTTCAAATTACGATTTGTCGAAGTAAAAAGTAGAAAAAAAGGAATGTGTTTAGAATACTCATTGTTGAATAAAGTTACAACATTTATATTGTTAAGTAATAGTATATAAAGCAACAATAAACTGCATATTTTTGCAGATTTTTCCCATGGTGGTAAAAAAAGCAAGATGAGCCTTTTGATGATTTTCTTTATTTTAACCATTTCATTTTACTTAAAAATCTCATGGCGCGAAAATTTATTCTGGTGACCATCAAAACAATTTCAAATCCTTTTTTCATCTATAAGTATAAAATATTAAAACATATATGTAAAAGTATCTTTAACTCTTTCAGAATTCTTTTATATTTGTTAGAGTGAATGTCCGAAATTGGTGGCTGTTGACTTCCACCGGTGAATGTTGACAATCACATAGTCGCATTGGTAAATGTCAGAAATACATACTAGGTCTAGTTAAGTGCCACTGCTCGGTATGCCCTATAGCAATTTTTTTAAGGTTCAATGCCACTGCCCGGTATGTCCTACATCAATGTTTTTTTTAAGGTAAAGTGCCATTACCCAAGATGAATTTAACCGGTTATCCTAATTTATCCTCAGCAGATATTAAAATATCGAACAAATGTAATGATATCAATGAATTAATTAATATCAAATCGGTTATTACAAATATTTCGGAATCACCAAAGCGACAATGTGATTGCTGACATTCACCGGTGAAAGTCGACATTCTCTTGATTTCGATCATTTACGGTAATATATATATGTAACTTATATTTTTAAAATTATGCATAACTTTCTGTGTTCATAAGTTGAAAAAATCATCCAAATTTAATTCCGTTTTATTTTTAATTTTTTAAATACAGGAATGTACTTTCATTGCGCGCATGATTTTTTCACAAAATGTCGGTGTTTTTTTTTAAATCAAAAAATGGCATAAAATAAGTTAAATATTAGTGCTTAACTTAAAGTCAGTCAATCCAATTAAAAAAATTCCTTCTTGCAGTACTAATCTAGCCCTTTTTGACCATCATGTGAAACCACTGTTAATAGCCCTAGACAACATTCACTAAAAATTACTACAGATAAATAAGTTGAAATTTCAACTATTTAAATTGAAAGTACTATTTTTTTCTTACATAGAACAAATTGTTTCAATAAAATAGTTAAAATAGTATTTTACTATAACTATTGATAGGAGTGAGCAAATAGAAATTTAACTATTTATAATGAAAGTACAATTCTTTTTATTACATAATTTAAACAAATTGTTTCAATAAAATAGTTAAAAGGATAGTATTTTACTCTAACTGTTGATAGGAGTGAGCAAATAGAAATTTTACTATTTATATTAAAAGTTCCATTTCTTACATAATTTAAACAAATTGTTTCAATAAAATAGTTAAAGTAATAGTATTTAACTATAACTATTAATAGGAGTGAGTAAATAGAAATTTTAATATTTATATTGAAAGTTCCATTTCTTACATAATTTAAACAAATTGTTTCAATAAAATAGTTAAAGTAATAGTATTTTACTCAAACTATTGATAGGAGTATGCAAATACATTTTAAGCTAAACCTAAAATAAAATCCCACTAACGATAAGTCCTCTTTGGTTAAACATGATTCATAATTGTGGGTTTATAGTAATCTTTTGATTTAGATAGGGTGCGTAGCTAAATTATTAATAATAAGCACCTTTAAAGCACTTTTCAAGAACTCACAAAAAAATTTTCAGCACTTTAAGAAATTATTGTGGGCTGCGCCCCCTGCTCACTAACGCTCGCCAACTCCCAAAAATTGCCACGCAATCTTATATGGTTTGCTTCGCAAACCAAGCTCGCTTCGCTCGCTACTAACTTAGGTACATTGCATATACACAAAATTCTAAGAATTCAAAACAATCATTCAAATCCATATAAAAACCTTTTTTTTTCAAAAAAAATTACATCTTTTTAGCAAATACTAAGTCATTAAAATAAATTTGAATTCAAATAAATACTCATTGACTGAGACTCATTTTTCAATGAATAACTAATAACAATAATAAAACAAATAAATTCGTGATATAAATCAAAAATCGTCAAATAAATTCGTAATATATGAATTCGTGAAAAAAAGCGCTTTCGACAAAATACTAAAATAGAGATCTATCGACAAAGACTACTCACTTCTGCCTAGCTTAATAGTATGAGATTGCTGCAGCTGAATTGTTATTTCAGTTTCCATTTTTAAAAGCGCTATATGTTGAGCCACCACAGCTAGATTTGACATGTGACATTTTTAGCGGCAATGATTGGTCGATTTTTTAGCGTTGCCATTCGGGGAGTTGTAATGAGGCTTTTTTTGTCGCCGTGTAAGAGAAATATATATATAGATTAGGCAGGGTAAGAAAGTTTCGACAGTTGACAGTTTTGTTTTAACCGTCATGTCTAAAAAAGAAAACCTTTTGGCATTGTTTCTGACAATTGTCAAAAATCATGAAATTTTGAATCATGTAAAACGAATGGCGTTTTCATACGCTACGGACTGACAATACGCCAAAATAGATTGGGATGGAATGAATTGTGAAAACGTTGAAGAGAACAATGTGAACTGTGTCTTTTTGCATAACTTGTAGAGAAAATTATGCACTTTTTAAAAACACCCAATGAAAAAAGCCCCTTTAAAGGCTTTTAAAAAACGAAAATCGAAAATAAGCACCTTTAAGCACTTTTTAAAAACACTACGCTCCCTGTATACACATATATACCAAAATTAAGAAACTTCTCACTTTGACATCACGGAAAATATTGCCAACCTTAATTTATTTAGTTACTTCTTTACCCTGTTTAGAACAGAGTTCCTTAAACTGCTCGTTCTATGATATGTAATTATTTTTTACTATTTATGCCACATTATCTGAAACCACGTGTTTATTTTGTTTATAGTTATGCTTTTAAAACATGTTACTATAAAAATAAAGTTTTTAAAATCAACTGTGAATAAAAAAAAAGTGTACTGAAAGGCAAAATTAATAGAGAAACTATTTCGTTAAGGAGAAACGTATGGAAACTCCAATATTAATATCGACGACAATGATAATTACTATCGGTAATAGTTACTAGTTGTAGTAAACCATATAATAACAAGGAGTTTTCACGGCTCGTGGAATTCGAACTCCCTTTCTGAACACGAGTCCAACCTTCTATCAACCAGGCCATCCTGGCTCTGCGATTGTTTTAATTTAGTGATATGAACGTTTGAACGGAAAAGATACAAATAAATAAATAAATATCTCATATTGCGTAAGTCATCGTTTCAAAAAAACAGATGTAGCATGACAATAAATTATTTACTTCCTCGTGATTCATTAGCATTCGAGAAACAAAATCTGTAAGGTGTTCAAGGCTTTATTCTAAATAGGGTACATTTATAAAAATAATTTTTTAAAAAAAAATTCATTCGCAATCAGTGAATTTTTTTTATTAGAATATCAACTTATCTAATGTCAGGGAAGGAAATGATTTATTTCTTTTTGAATTATTTGTAGTTTAGATTTACGCAGATCGTCGATGTGGTTTTTATTTTGAACGCAGCACCAAGTGCTTGTTTTAGAAAAATGGACACAGTTTATAAGTGCGCCGCTGTGTGGTTTTCTTAAAAATTTTGTCAAATGACTCAAAAATTAACTCAAAATAACTTTATTAATGAAAAAAAAAAATTAACTGAAATTTTTTTTCTCAACGTGCAGGTTTTTGTTTTGTATTTTTTTACCATTTATTTTTTATTCTACATGTACATAGAAGATAAATAAAAGACTCATTTTTAAGCACAAAGGTAATATTTATAAAATTTAAAAAGACATTTTTTCTCTTTATCTAATGAATTCTTTTCTTATCAGCACATAAAACAATACAAAGTTTGAAATTTTATTTTATATATTCCTGTTATTCTGTACCTTGCATGTTGTAATCGCATCAAATAGAAAAGAAAAAAAAAAGATTTTAAAAATTGTGAAACTTATCAGGAAAATTTCGATTATTGGAAATGGTTATTTCAAAAGAAATCACAGGAATCGGACGCGTAAGAAAAGTATTTCGATCCTGATTGGTTGTTGAAATGTCGCATATTTCTTAACGTTAAAAACTGTTCTTTACATTTTATTTCGAGTAAGCCAAGCCCAAAAGTATCAATTCACATTCTATATTCTTTTACAAAGATTCTTTCTCAAAGATTTAAATTCTTGTACTATATACTTCCATAGGGACTTAACAAAGACAGATACGAAGCCATGTGGAACATAAACTATATATGCATTGAAGTTGCCAGGTTCACAAAACAAAAATATATCATGGTTGCAATAAAATACATGAACAAATAATAAATCTAAGTTACGTAAAAGTAGAGGAGAAAGAATTATATTTTAACTTATTCGATGTGCGATACGGATCTCTATAAAATTAACTTATCGTTAATTAACATTCTAACTTATGTAGAGAAACTTAGCTTATTTTTAATACGCCGTTTTGCTGATAAAGAGTAGCTGGCGCTGATGTCACTGGTCACATGTGTGGGTATGGGAGGTCTTCTTCTTGAAGTGGAAGCACCCAATTAAGTAAAAAAACAATTATTTGTTTTCGTTAGCAGAACTATTATTTTTATTATAATGGTTTGATGTTATTTCACGACTAAGCGAAGAAAAAAAACTATGATTCTTAACTGAATTTCGTTTAACAGAATAATCTTTCCTAATTAAAGCAAACGCACCCAGAAATA